CGCAGTGCCACAATCCATCTCGCTTAAAAAAACACATGAAGTGATATTGCTCTTATCTGATAAGTTCCTTAGGCACATTCTGTCATACTGTCATTCCATTGATAGTCCCGTCCTACTTTGTAGACCATCGTTCACTTAAGGGATCTTTGAAGCACATCTGTCACATCTTTCCTTAGACTACTCTAATACGGGGTGATGCACTGCTATCCGAGAGTTTCAAATAGATTTTTCCTCTCATGACTAGGCATCAAATGTTAAATCTGGATAAAAATAGAAAAAAAGGCATGTCTCTAGAAATATAATTACTGTGCACAATTGCATTACAAAGCACCCTCCACTCTTGACATTTCAGAAGTTCAGTCAAATGGGCTTATAGGACATGTATGCTTTGAGGGCATGTTTCGGAATATGGCACTGGTTAAAAAATAGCTGATGATGAATTGCAATGCCGACCTGTGTGTATGTCTCCCTCCCCAATCCTGTTCGGAGCCAGGCCAAGGGCAAGGTTCCACCTCTGGCGTACCACAGCAGCACGCTCTTCCGCCATGAGCTGTTTGTGTTTGGAGGCGTTTTCCCACTACCCAACCCACAGCCGGACGGCTGCAGCAACCAACTGTACATCTTCAACCCACAGCACAGCATCTGGTACCAGCCGATTGTGGTGGGCGACCTGCCCTGCCCTCGATCCGGGTACGCACTTTAAAGCTGATGTTGCCGGCAGGCCATTATGAATAAATGAGCGTGTCAATACACTATCCAGATGAGGGTTTTTCCCATGCTGTGCAGGTCATGAGGAGTTGTTTGACCATACTTTGCACTGGCCAATGCAGTTGGTGAAAGCAACACAGTTGTATAAGCATAGCAGTACAGCAATATATATTGCTGGACTGACTGCCTTCTGCTGCTCATCATGTTAGCCCCATTTCAAACGGCATGGTAATCACCTGTCCAAGCACTATCCAAGAACTCTGCTTTGCTTCAACGGTCCGATGAACAGATGCCTTTAAAAAAATGTGATTTGGTTATAGAATGAGACTGTAAACACCAAGTTAAATGATATTCCCATATTATCATTCAGAAGCTCAAAGCTTATTTTGCATGTTATTTATCAGACACTCGATGATCCTCCTGAAAAACAAGCTGGTGATATTCGGTGGTTGGGACGCACCCATGTGCTTCAGTGACCTGCATGTCCTCGACCTTGGTAAGCGATGGGAGTGTGCATGCTGTGCTGTTTAACATGCTGCCGTGGGCCAGTGATTTATATTTTCAACAGTGCTAAAATGAGGGGCGGGGTTGGTGTGTTCATTGTTTGTAATGGCTTTTGCTTTAATGAAATCCATGTCGTAACTGGTATTGCTGCCCGTCAAACTTGTATATCATCACTCCAGGGTTTATGGAGTATGCACCCGTGCAGGTCCAGGGAGCCGTACCTTCTCCAAGATGGTGAGCAATTAAAACGATTTACTGTGAAAGGGGGATGCTGCTGTGCTGTCATGGTTAGTTTATGGTTTGCACACTGGACTTGCAATCCAGAGATCACCTGTTCTATGTAATCTCCTGGTGGGGCAGTTGAACCAATGATGTATGTTTCTTAAATGCCCCAGTCCCTATCCACGCAGCGGTATACATGGGTACACCACAGTCAGTTGATCGGCAGGTTGGGCGTCTTGGGGTAAAGTGTGTGGGTACTCGCACCTCTTCCAAAACATCTGGCCAGTGCAGAAGAGTTGGCCAAAAGGGTCTCTAAAGCTCCCTCTTGGTGAGAATGAAATTGTAGTGATGTTCTTTTTTAACGTTATATTTATGAAAACAAGTACTGTATGATAGAGGTGTAAATAATTAATCAGTTAATCGATTACATTTGATTATAAAGCTTGCAATGCATGTTAAAATGATGTTTTTTTTTAATTTTGTATGCAGAATGTATTCTTGTGTCCTGCAGCCACTAGTGGCCGCTACACTTACCGCAAGAGTAATTGATTAAATCTGGACTCCTTTTAATTACAGCAATCGTCACTTGACCTGTGGAGAGGGGGTGAATCGTTACGCCTCTACTGCATAGGACAAATGTCATTATTTACACCCAAGCTGTTTTGTAAATTGTATCATAGCATTACTACTGCGTACGTTTTTCACGTTTGTGCTGTATAGCTCCGATTTGTTTTGAGGTTGTACTACGTGTTTGGCAGGTGTAGTGAAACGTCAGACATCATGCCAAAACAACATGTGGTAAAATCTGAAACTAGATTTGAATTGGTTTATAGTAAGTAAAACATATACCCCTTTCTATCCTTAGCTGGCATGCATCTGCCCCTGTTTCGGACAACCGTATGATCATTCACGGAGGATATAATGGCCAACGTGCTCTCACGGACACGCACATCTTCAACGTTGGTGAGCAACCTCTCCGTTTATTTATTTATTAAGCATTTCAACCCAAATTTTAGAGCCATATTTTTGTACAGCAAAAGCAGATGTGCTAGATATCACATTGCCCAATAGAAGTTAACGGCACACATTAAGATGTGTTGATGTAAAATACATTCACACAGTTTTATTTCGATGTATGCATATATCTTCTTCTATAATTGATATAATATACTTTACATGCTATTTTGTCAGTCCACTGAAGCCCTACCCCTTACTATAGGTCATGGGGGTTTGACCATAGGTACGGGTTAGTGAAGGGGAAGGTCAAGACTTTTCTGGATATAATTTGCCACTGATCTTAGCAGTGACTGGGAATCAAACTTTTAGGTTTGCTTCATAGTGCAGTGTGCTAACCCCATGTCATAGCTGCTCCTGGGAATTGATGATTTATACCTTATTAAAAGTATATGCTAATGTTCCTTGGGGAAACTGCCATGAACTTGATAAAACAAACCAGATAGAATATAAAGCTGAATACAAATGAGATGAAAGTGTAAAGATACCTGAAATCGCATTTTGACCATTCATTGCATTGTGTGGGGGGGGGGGGGGGAGGTTGGAGATTGAATAATTACACGCCGAGTAATAACTGTGTGTGTGTGCTTCAGATACGAGCGAGTGGACACAGCTCACGAGTGACCCCTTTGGGTCGGTCCCACGTGCTGGCCACTCTATCCTCGCACTGGCGTCCCTGGACGGGGGCGCCGAAGCCAAAAGGGAAGGAGCGACTGGGGGGCACGAGGCCCTCTCCACGCTGCTCGTTTTCGGTGGGGGAGACAACGAGGGGGGCTTCTATAACGATGTGTCTCTCGTGCCGCTAAGAGCGATCCTGGAAGGCGTTGTGTAGGGGGATTGGTTCCTGATTTTCTTGTCGATCCGAAAGTGTGATGTCCACTGGAAAGGATGCCGCGCGTTTCATGACTTGCGTTCATTTCCTCCAAAAAGTTGCGTGACGAATCATCCGGCGATGTTACTTTTGTAAGCATGAATACACGTTAATTTATTACAATGTCAATAACCCCAATATCTGAAAAAAGATCCGAAATTGTCCTTAATCTGAAATTCCCTCCCTATTATATAGGAATTGGGCAGAGCTGCTACTGTATTCCCAGGATTGTGGTCTGATTTTCTTTGCTCCTGTAAAATTAAAGCAAAAGTTAACAGTGCATCTTATTCAAGAGGGCTGTGTGACCAGATTTGACAATGGCCAGACACAATTATGTGGTGCGTCTTACCTTCTGGATCGTCTTATAATCTGAAGAATATGATAATCTTGTCTTGCTCCTGTTGCTCTTTCCAGGTTAAACACTTGCATCCATCTGATTGCCGCATTGAGTTATGTCGACAAGGCCCCTAAACGTTGTGCTGGCATTGCCAAGCAGCCTTGCAGGGAACACTCTCTGATTGTCGCCATGTGCTGTTGTGGTATATTCATGGCTTCTCAAAAGCCACTCTACCTTAAATATTGATGTTAAGATAGCCAGATTCTAGTTTAAAACGACTTTAATTCGCAACCTTGCCTTTTTTAATGTTTTTAGGTGTAAATGTATCTCCTGTTGCATTCTGTTGTGTGGCATTGGAAGCTATTTCTATGTTAATATAAAGTGTTGTCATTTTTAATTGCAGAATTATATCCTTTTTTGTGTTTAAATAAATGTGTACATTTCTTGAATAAAAGCCATTGAATAAAGCATTAAATATCGCACGTAATTTTTGGTTCATTGAATACTCTATACATTTGTTGTACTGTGTTTTATTTTGCACATCCGGGTACCCCCTTTGTGTTTTTGTAGTCCAGTGTATTGTGACAATTGTCCAGTAACAACATGCATTACTTTAAATGGCAAACCAAGACTAAAGTTAATTTAAGATTTAATTAATTTGGTCACATACTCTGGCTTGGAAAATAACTTCATGTCAGGGGACATCTTGTGTGAAACCAATGTTTCTGAAACAATGTCACTAAGAGGGCCATGTGGATGATTGGATGTGTAAAGCAAAAAAATATTTTTTTACGTTCAGACGTGCGTGAAGAAATCTGTAGTACAGTCGAATTCTCCACGACGCTCGTCGCAAAAGTATACATACGATGCATTGTTACATTTGAGAACGTGCACATTAGCACGTGCATAGTATTCAATTGTCACGAATGCTGTATTTGTTTTTTTGTGTCACGGATTTCAACAACTTCTTGATTTATGCCATTTTTTTTAACCAAACCTAATTCACGGCAGATCTATTATACAAGTCTGAATTATATTCTCGCGTATGGGGCAATACGTCCAATGCCAATAAAGTTTGCTTCGCCACGACGAGAGGGCTTCCTGAGAGATCGTGGAGTTTTGCTCTTCCTCTGTCGAAGAAGCACTCGCTGCAGGTGTTTAACAAAAACAAATTACACGGGAGATCAGATCATCTTTGTCTCGGCGCGTGTTGTTCAAACGGGTGCGTTTAACTCATATTTTAGTCGAACGACGTTAACAATGATTGATTTAGGGCAGGGACACCACCACCCCCCCCTATGACTTTTAAAACTTTTTTTGTAAAGTAGAGCCGCGTTGACGTCATCTCCACAACAGCTGTGGGAGTTCAAAGAACCCTCCCCCATCTGTTCAGGACACGAACGTCCATTCGGAATGTGGTTCTCCGAGATCTCCACCACTGCCACCACAGTCCTGCCGCATACGTAAAGACGCGAGGGGCCATTCTTGAATGTTCTTTTGCTTCCACGATGAGCAAGCAAGGCGACGCTTCTGTCCGCCGCCGTAAAGAGATGAGCGATCCGGCCAAATCCGCCGCCGCCGTTACTTCGGCGGCTGCGGCTTTGGCGGCTTCCCAGCATCTCAACGGCGGTGGCGGCGAACCCGAGCGAGTGCGCCTCGGACGACGAGAAGGAAGAGGTGGCGGAAGAGGTGGAGGACGAGGGTCAGGAGGAGAGGGACCGGGAGAGGTCGTGCCTGGCTCTGGTGCCGAGGGGCAACGAGAGGCGCGCGTGGTGTCGGCCTGCGTGCTGTTACTTGCCACGGCCACGAGGTTCTATCGCCTGGACGAGCCAGACCATGTGTGGTGGGTGTGCGGACACATCATCATACACATCATACACATCATCATTTACACACGTACAGCAGTGTGTGTGACACGTCATACATCATCATCACACGTACAGCAGTGTGTGTGTGCAGTATCACGTACTGTAAAGGGTAACTGAAGTCGCCTGCGCACTGTAAGCCCAGAGCGCATTGTAAATTCACACGTGTGTGCACAAACAGACTAAGCGAGCGCGCACTGTAAATTCACACGCGTGTGTGTGCGCGCGCACTGTAAATTCACACGTGTGTGTGTGTGCGCGCGCACACGGACGATAAGCGAGCACGCACTGTAAATTCACACACGTGTGCGTGTGTGCGCACGGACGATAAGCGAGCACGCACTGTAAATTCACACACGTGTGTGCGTGTGTGCAGACTACTGTATAAGCGAGCACGCACGCGCTCTGCCACACGTGTGCAGGGGAACGCGCAGACCTCTCCACTCGTTCTCGTCTTTTTTGCAACCTTGCACACGAGCGATACGATCCCAGCTGCAAGCAAGGGTGGGGAGGGGGGGGAGAAACCCGATTTTTTTAAAGCCAAATTTTTATCGGGTTATTGGTTTTTATTCCCCCCCAAAAAACAGATTTTGTCGAAACCCCCCTCCCCTCCCCAATGGTTTAAATCCGGCAAGTCAAGTTGTCAATCGGCGGCAGAGTCATCGGATTCGCTGTCCTCTTCATCCCGACCCGTTCCGTCGAAGAAGGCGTGTGAATGTTGCTCTGCATGAAGACGACGACCTTCGCCGACTCCACGCTTGGGCTGCCCCTCCTCAGGGGCCGTGTTGGAGGAGACGTTCCTCTCGTTATGCGGCGCTGGACGTGGCGATGCTGGACAGCTCCGCGGCGATCTCGGGCCACTCACGGCCATCGGACAGCCAAGACTCAAATCGGGCATCTTGATACCTTTGACCATCGTCTTGTAGCGGGACGTGTTGTTTGTCTTGGCTTTGGTGGGCGGCTAGAATCACAGGGATCAACGGGCAATACAACCGAATTTTTGGCCATCTGAGATTATCGTTTTTAAAAAAATTAAAACCACGAAAACCCCGATGGGGAAAAAAAACAACACCGATGCTGCCAGCCAGCCTTGGCAGTAAGCTGCACGCGGACTGTTGGGACAAGTTCTGTTAAGCGGACGCCTGTTAAAGCCGCCACAGCATGTACGGTTCGGGTAGAGTTCAAGCCAACCTGTCCGCTTTTAGGCTTCTCAACCCTGATGTTGATCACGCGCCGCACCCGTTATTCGGATCTTCTGCTGCTTCTTCTTGTTGTCATCGTCGTCGTACGGCTGCTGATGTCGATACAGAGCAGCGACTTGCAATTTCCACACTCGGGTGGTCAAGCCAAGATAACTGCGAGTGAGCGGAGTGTATCTGCTCTGATATCTTCCCCCCCCTCTCCCGTTTTCTTGTTATTCGATTATTGCAACTCACTACTCTACAGGACGTCTGGTAAAAAAAAACCCAACAAACACAAAATTGGCAAGCTGTAGCGTGTACAACAAACATTCTTTGGCACGTGCCCGTGACAGGTACACGGTGGTGGCTGAGCCGCATCGAATTCCGGTTGCTGAACGAAGATACATTATAAAGTAGCACTCGCATACCTGTCAACCCCTTATCAGTGCCCTACCTTATTACAGACCAATTCAGACCTTATTGGTCTTACCGTGCCCTTATAATTTTCAACGTTCATCCGACAAAGTTCCGTATTGAAACGGCTGTACGCCGTATGGACCTGAAAACTCAATTTCCCTGTTCAAGAATACGGGTAAACGGTATGCACTCATTACACACGAAGTGCTTGCCACAAATGAACCACAATACCTTGCTGATCTCGTCAAGGGGCATAAACCATCACCTACACTCTGGTCAACCTCGCAGCAGCGGCTTTTGGCTCGGCCATCGAACAAAGATGGCCACTGGAGCTATGCACTTTTTAATCTAGTTTGAAAATGTATTTCTTGAGAACAGCTCTTTGTGTTTCGTTTGTTGCCCTTCCCCTGCACCTCCGATTAGCACGGTTGGCTACGTACGATTCAGCATTCATACAGCATGTAGTGTTTGTGAACGTATGTCACCTTGTCTAACACTAACTGATGCAAAAGAGGTAGTGTTCCCAGGAAAGGTCTTCACTATACCGAGTCCTAAGACTCATTTGAAGTGCGTTTGTATGCGGGACGAAACTGGAGTTCCCGGTGAAAACCCACGCATACTGGAACATGGCAACCAAAGAACGACACAGATAGATTAAATAATCCAAAGTCGAGTGAGTTGGGATTCTGATAAAACTCTATCTTATCCACCAACCCAAGCCTCCAAAGTGATGGAATCAACACACCATGCATATACCACGGCAGACAAGCATCTATAAGTCTGAGTTGACGTTCCAGAGGCTGAGAACTGTCACATTAACCACTGGTGAAAAACATTCGCAAGCTGCAGTGTGTACATATTCTTTGGCACGTGCCGTGACGGGTACTGCAAGCGTGTCCACCCAGTGCTCCCTGAGCTGCATTGGATTCCGGTTGCTGAACGAATACATTGAGGTCGCACTCATTACACACAAAGGGCTTACCACAAATGAACCACAATACCTTGCTGATCTCATTAACGAGCATCAACCATCATCTGAACTCCGGTCATCTTCGCAGAAGCGACTTTTGGCTGGCCATCGAACGAAGACAGTCATCGAAGCTCGCAAGGACCATTCCCCCTGCCTCAAGAATACGCCTGATATGGTCGATGCTGAGGGATAGGTGACAAATCCAGCTCACTCCGGTTCCTCAACAGTGGATTGCCACAGGTTCAGTACTCACGTCAACGCCCTTCAATATCTATACGAGCGACATGCCACCAACCGGGTCACGCCAATTTGCATATGCGGATGACCTTGCCCTGGCAACGCAAGCAGCCATTTTCAACAACATTGAATCAACTCTGAACCAAGACCTAATGACCAGGGAGGAATATTTCCGGGAATGGACGCTCAAGCTAAATCCACAGAAAACAACAGGCATTGCACTTTATCTTGATAATTATAGGAGCACCAAGCACACTCTGAAAGTGACCTTCTGGGGCAACACTCTGCGACACGATCCCACTCCAACCTATCTCGGAGTGAAGCTGGACCTTACGCCAACCTTCCACGATCGCCTGAAAAAGGTAGCTGCCAAGACCAAAACAAGGGTCAACCTGGTCAAGCAATTGGCAGGCACAAGCTGGGGAGCATTAGCACCGGTGCCACGGACATCAACGATGGCCCTTGTGTAGTCTGTAGCCGAGTACCGTGCACCAGTATGGACCAGCAGTAGTCACACTCGACTTGTTGATGTCCAACTGAACACAGCAATGTGGTGTACCACTGGAACTTTCAAGTCGACTCGAACACCCTGGCTGTCCGTGCTGGGTCAGTGTGTTTTTTTGAAATCACGGATGCTGAGCACAGGGCCCAAAACCCTCAAAACGCCAAGTGGTGAGCAACAAACAGCACAATCGAAGGTGGAATAGATTTAAGTTGAGATGTTCCTTGAATTGAACGAGGTTATAACACGCAAAGAAGAGGTTGATGGGAAGGAATTCCAAGAGGGGGATTGCGATGGAGGAAGCAAAAAGAAAAGTATGTTCAGCTACAGCAGGGTAGACAAACACGGTATAAGTGAGATGAAACGATTGATTTGCTATAGGTGGCTAGGGGGATGGCACTACAGTACATGCTTACCATGTGTGCTTGTCACAAATTAACCAAAGAACCTTGCTGATCTCATCAAGGAGCATAAACCATCACGCAAACTCCAAGCATCCTTTTCAGCGGCTTTTGGCTAGCCATCAAATAAAGACGATCACTGCATCGTGCACTTTCAGATGGGCTTCTGCAGCCGTCTGGCATGCTCTTTCCTCTGATATTAGGAAGCCATTGGAGCTATGCACTTTAAAATCTAGATTGAAAACGAATTTATTTAGAACTGCTGTTGGTGATTCGTTTGTTGTCTTTCTCCCACACCTCCGATTAGCACAGTTGGTTATGTACGGTGCAAAATAAGTTCAACATACATAGTGTGTAAATACTGTACCCATCTCTGCTCACGACAGGTGTAGATTTATCCACGTGCAAATTGGAGAGTTTTAAGTGTGCATATACAACTAATTTGAACTATGCAGGACTTTCAATAATATATTTTCTAGGTACGCCAGAAAAGGTAAAGCCTCATTATATGTCAGATGCCAATTCATGGGGATGTCACGAACATTTTGGCTAATTGTCCTTTTCCAAGCACTTGCAACAAATTAGCAATCGGGGTTAGTAATCCATAATAAAATAATTAATAAGCATCACACGACCATATGCGAATGGCAACCTTCACGGCAGTATAGTGTTCAAGATGTTACCCATGTAGCCGATCATCCAATGGGCTGACAATGTGCCACACCTAGGCTGTGTGGTGGATGGGGCATGTTATCATTGTAAAATGTACAGCAGGGAGATTTGTGCATCTGACCATCTACTGAAGCCCTCTCGTGTCTTTCCTCCACCAGTTGGGACGAGACTCACTTTGGCAAGATGGGAAGTTACTACATCAACAACACGTTCTTCTTCGATGTCCACCCTCCACTCGGCAAGGTGGCTTGTTACGCATTAATAGAGTGGTAGTACTGCAGTAATGGTACAGCTCTTTGTAAATCTAATTGCTGGATGAAGGCCTCCCAAATGCCATATCGGTGATGACATGTTTGGCTGTAATTCATCACGCTGCTGAGTGCAAATAGGTGAAGGTGTGAAGGTGGTGGAAGACCTAGGGCCGGTTCAGATATCACTCGCTGCTTGTTGTTAGCTGAGGCCGAGAATCAAACTCCGGTGATCAGGTTTACCCTTGTTCAAGGCCAGGCTGAAGACCTTCCTCTTTGCCTCTGCCTATTACCATATCATCCTGAACGTGCCTGATTTCATCAGAGCTCAGAAGCTAAGCTGGAGTGAACCTGTATGGTGCTTGGATGAGTGGCCAACCGTGCATTTGATACTCTTTGGTTCTATTCGGTAAAGTCACGTAGGTAAAAAATAAAACAACAAAAATCACGACGTTTCGACCACAACACAAGTGGCCTTCATCAGGTGAAGGGACCAACCTGTCCAGAGGACAGCGTTGGAGTGAAAAAAAAAGTCAAGCGCAGGTCGCCTCCTTTAAGCTGTGAGTGGGTAAACAGAAAAGACGCCTTGACAAAGGAATTAGCATAAAATGTAAAGCTGTGCATAGCTGTGCATAGCTTTACATTTTATGCTAATTCCTTTGTCAAGGTGTCTTTTCTGTTTACCCACTCACAGCTTAAAGGAGGCGACCTGCGCTTGACTTTTTTTTTCACTCCAACGCTGTCCTCTGGACAGGTTGGTCCCTTCACCTGATGAAGGCCACTTGTGTTGTGGTCGAAACGTCGTGATTTTTGTTGTTTTATTTTTTACCTACGTGACTTTACCGAATAGAACCAAAGAGTATGGATCCTTGCAGTCACGAAAGCTTTCAGTCTAGAATCGTGCATTTGATGTTGTAGGCTGCTGTGGGGCTATGTTGTCAGCAGAGGGCTGTGCAGCAAAATGCACTTTGTGGTACAGGGACTCTTCTACTTACGGACATTCGACTTACGGAGTTTCAAAGATACGAACAAACCTGTCCGTATGTCCAGTTGCCGTTTCGGACCGAGAGTCATAAGTTCAACCACCGCGCAATAGATGGCGGTGGTTGTTCGGTGTCGTTACCCAGCATTCCCAGCGTTTCTGCCTGGGCTGCCACCATTGTCTGTTGTTGTGTTGTCGCTGTGTTCTCTGTGCTTTTCATGAACACTATCAACCCCCATCATGTCTCAGAAGCGTAAGAGTAGTGAAAGTGTTGAGGGTGGTAGTACAAAGACGCAGTGGCATCTACATCTACAGGAGATTATACAACTTTTAAAGCCATTCGCCGTGTTTAGTGTACATGCTGTACAACATGTTTGGAATCGACAGGAGTAAAGTTGGACTTAAGAACAAATCGGCTTACGAACAGACCTCTGGAATCTAACTCGTCTGTAAGTAGAGGCATCCCTGTACTATATTATGTCCCAACGTTTATGGTCCCCACCTCCACCAACACTCGCTGATCAGCGTGGTGAAGTATGGTCACATAGCTCAAGCGACCCATTCGACATGGGTTAGCCCCCTCACCCAGAAGGGGAATTGACATATTAGGTTGTACTTGTATACATATATGACTGATTGATTATTTCGTTTATTAAGTACGTAAATGTCCCCACTGTTCTGCAATAGCGTCGTGTTGACCCGTTTGCAATTGGACGCCATATATATCCACAAGCTAAATATCCGGATGCCATCAAGGCAGGAGCCGTTGATGCCACCACACTTTGTTGACGTGTTATACCCTCTGCCGTTGCTGCACAGATGCCACCACACTTTGTTGACGTGTTATACCCTCTGCCGTTGCTGCACAGATGCCACCACACTTTGTTGACGTGTTATACCCTCTGCCGTTGCTGCACAGATGCCACCACACTTTGTTGACGTGTTATACCCTCTGCCGTTGCTGCACAGATGCCACCACACTTTGTTGACGTGTTATACCCTCTGCCGTTGCTGCACAGTAGACACGCAACCTCCAAGATCTGCTCAAACGGTGTCCCACCATCCGGTGTTGCAGCTTGTCGAGCTGTATGAATTTGTGACCGAGCGCTGCCCTACCAGATGCTGATCGGCCTGGCTGGGCACCTCAGTGGCTACAACGGCGCCTTCCCTTTCTCCAAGCCCGGTGACAAGTACGGCGCGGCGGAGTACCTGGGCATGCGAGCCGTGAGTCGCTGTAGTCGCAGTCTCCTGTTGTCCCACACCCCCCACCCCACTTAACGTGTCTCTGTTCCTCGGCTCATGGCCGGAGAATTACCGCATCCAACGGTGTCCTACGCTGACATGTCTGTCCTTTTACGGGGTGTCTGGACCTTGTCACCAAAGCGGCGAATTTACCAAATGTAAAAATGTTCCTTTGCAAATTACCGAATTGTAATGGCCGATAGCAATGTGACTTGCATGTGTCAGTGCTGCGTCACCCTCTGCGGCACAGGGACAGCTGCCATCAGGAAGGGTCCCCTAGGCTAAAAAAAAAACTACTGCTGTGTATCCAAATGATTGAGATGCGATGTAAGGCGCTTTGAGACATTGGGGCATTTATGTGCCCAACACATGCAGATAGTATTTTTTTGGCTGGCTTTGTTTTCAGTAAAATGTGAATGCATGTGAGGTATGCGGTTGATTCAGAAGTCAAGCGAACTGCACCGGCACCGTAGAGTTCCTGGGTTTGAATCTGAGCAGCCACCTGTGGTTAAACCGGGTTCTCAACTGCGGAGAGTTGATGGTCTCAGCTGGGTCACCAATGGCTGCACAAAAAACACGTCCGGCAAAACCTCCCGAAGCTGCACTTGAGTAAGGCAAAATTCATGGTAAGCGGGAAAGGCTACTAAAAGAAATAATAATATCGAAACAAACAAACTCAAACCTGAGCACTATTCAGGGTCGGGTACATGCAGCGCTTTCCTAAATGTGTGTTTAACCGAGAAGATTTGGTAAATATGGTGGCTCATGTGAACTGGAGTCTAGGGAACACTGGATTGCATGTGATGAAAAAATGAAATGGCACACTGTTTAAATAAATAACTACGGTAATTTACACAGGACCCTTATCAATATGTTACTTAAATATTTATCAGACTGTCAAATCCATAAATGTAATCACTGGATTTACAGTCCATTAAGTTGCTCAACAGAACAGCAAAGCTTCAATAAGTAGGAGAAGATAGTAATAATATTTTCGTGTGCTCATTTGCCCGGGTAGTTTTGCGCGCTGCTGGGGTCACTGGCGGTATTTTTCGCGCACCTGACCGTGCTGGAGGTGACGCGCTCCATCTCCGCCTCGGTCGTCCTCGCGGCGCTCCTCATTTTCGGTGAGTCGCTTTCAATCCCTGCGCATGGCGCCCCGTTATCAAGTGTCATCGGTCCGCGCCGCGTTGCAATTCCACCGTCGGGGGCGTACGAAGGGGCTACCGCTTTTCGCAGAAATTGCATTAAAAAAACAATGTACGTAGACGGGTCTCTATATTTCTCGGGGGTGTGTTTCTGACCTTCTGCCGGTGGCTTTGTGAGTTTTTCAGCTCACGGCTGTGAAAATAGCCACCGTCTGTTTCACTTAAGGGCAGTCCCTTGGGGTCTTTGGAGGGATTGTGTGGCCAATCGCTCACGAGTGTCTTTAATCGCGCCGGTTTTATGAAAGAATCAAACGGGCCGCGATAGAAAACTGACGATGCGTATCATTGGGTTTTCTATTTACTCGCAACAAAAGGCCTGCATGACAACAGCGTCGTTGTTTGTGCAGATTGTCCTCTGGGAATCCTGGAATTGCCACGTTTACCCCTCCCCCCCCCTTTTTTTTTTTACAATTTCAAGCGATTCCTTTGTTCGGTCCAGTTATGAGAACAGCGCACGGCAATTGAGGCCTAAAAGGCTCTCGTTAAAGTGTCATCACCCCCTGCTTCAACCTCCGTTTGACATTTATAAACACGCACGTTCCGACCTACAAGTGGCATTCGCCGCTTGCCGCACACCATCTCCCAGAGACGCTGCTGCTGCTGCTGCTGAAGGTTGCGTTAGTTGTATGGTCAGATAGCTTCGCTGGTGCCTCAACAAGACTCTCTATTTGGTAGACAATCACATTTTGTGAGTTGCCGTGACTTTTTCCAGGACACGCCTCATTTTTACCTTTGCAAACAAATGACCTGCAATAATAGTGCGGTTAGACCTCCCAGAAATTCAAATCGTAAGCGATTCACTTTTTTTACGAAGCGAATCGTAATGAAAAGTATAATCCCTTTATCAATCCACGGCTGTGTGAAGGTCACGGTCATGGGGCATTGTTTGACCCCACCACGCTGGTCATTGCTGGTTGGTGCCGGTGGTGGGGGCCCAGGGCTGTTGTAGATATCGCTCGCCGGTGAATTTCATGCCCGGGAATCAAGTTCAGGTAGCTGGGCGCATAGCACAGTTTGCCAACGACTACTCCCGCCTGTCCATGCTTGGATAGCATTATGCTTGGCTATGAACGGTGCGAAAGACGTTCAACATGCATACATACTCTAGGAAATATGTAAGTAAAATTCTCCATGTAAGCCAATTTAATTTGCCCTGGTGGCCGAGGTTGCGAGTTGCCTCGGCCCATAATCCCTCCCAGGGTCGATACAATCAGTACCACTTTGTGGGCAAGTCAACAGCAGTTATCATAAGGATCGACTCGCCCCCGCATAGGAATATGGAATATTCACCATTGGCTCGGGTATGTAAACATGAGATGAGGCACTTAAAAATAATGGGTAAAACAGCCTGGTAAAGAGTACACACATGGTGAATGACTTCACTTGTGATCACACCAGGCATGTGCTGTTACTCGCTAAATAAGGAGTGCCTGATCCATCTAAAACCTATTTACAATTGTAAGAATTTTTCTAAAATACCTAGAACTCAAAATAAATGTACGAGTAGTTGCAGAAGTGTGTAGAGGCAGCACGTGTGGCTGCATTTGCAGATAGCAGCAAATTGTTTCATTATGTATGTGTGCGTGTGTTTATGCGTGTGGGGAGCAGTAGTGTAGCGGTCGGCACGCTGCGCTACGAACCTGGCGACCCGGGTTCGATTTCCGCTCACGGCCAATACCAGTGACGATTATCTGAACCGGTCCTGGGCCTCCCCTAGGTCGACTCGGCCTCCAATGAGTACCTGGTGCGGTGTGTAGTAAACATCGTCACTAGGGAGACAAAAGCGGCCGGGCGTGGTGCTGGCCACCCACTCCATCGTGTGCCGTGCTGGCCTTCATAGGTGCTCGCTAACAGCACTTACCCCTACAGTCTGTTACAGGCTACACGGGGGATCTTTGTCTTTGCATCGGGAGGGCAAGGACCAGTTCAGATATTCACCACCGATGTTTCCAGTGATGAATATTTGCACTGGTCCTGGGCCTCGCCTTGGTCGACTCATCCTTTAATGAGTACCTGGTGCCCAGGCGTGGCACTGTCCACCCCCCCCCCGCCCCCCTCAGTGTGCCGTGCCGGACCTCATGGATCCACGTTTACAGGACTTGCCTTAGCAGCCTGTTAAAAGCTATAATGGGTATCTATCTTTTTTGTGTATCAGACACGGGCTGCCTCACACTGTCTCAGTACATCCTGCTGGACCCCGTGCTCCTCTTCTTCATCATGGGGGCCACGTACGGCATGGCACGCATCGGCTGGGGTGGCCACAGGTGAGATGTTCATTTAAATCTTCGTCTTTAGCGGCCGTGACCTATCCACCGCTGGATGAAGGCCTGCTCCGGCCGCCACCGCCCCTCATTGTGCCGTGGTGTAGCAATGCGCCTTGCACCTGCGGGAGGACTCGCTCACGTGGTGAGTTTCGTCTTTTTGGCAGTCGCCTCCACCCTCGGTCTCGGCAATTTTGTTCTGCCCAAGCCCACTTCACTGTTTTCTTCACCGTCAATCTGATGTCTCCATATTGTCTGTATTACTTAATCAGTCGTGCTTCTGTCTATGTCTCTCAGCGTAATGCCAAGCATGCACCTCTCCTCGCTCCAATGCGCACTTTTCAGCTCTTCAGTTTTATTTTGCCAGCAAAATGGCCATGCTGAGTGGCTCCCTCATGTGCCTTGGCATTCTTTGCGCACTCCATTTTCCTTTCACATGAAGCCAAACACTAATTAATAAGTTTGCCCAAACATCTCAAATGCAGGACACTCCTGAAAAATAGCCCTGAGTCTCGGTGAGGCTCTTCTGAGTAAATCATTTGCATTAGGCTGTGTGTTGCATATTAAGTCCCACCTTGATTCTGTGCCCACCTTTGTCCCACAGTAGCGGGAGACGGGGCTGGCAGCAGCAATTAATCAATTAAGCCATTGATTAATTAGCTCATTAGGTGTATGACGGGAACTGCCTTTTAGCAGTTTTGCCACTCTGTGATTGCATTCATGAGTATAATTTCTCCTTTTTCGACACATTTTTGCACGTATCCTCTAGTGGAAAGAAAGAGGAAGTGTTGCTCAGCTCACGGCTGTTTTTTAACAGCACTCCTGAATTCCCTCCTTGGCCATTCTTGACCACTCGCATTAGAGGACACATTTGATCATGTGTCAATTAGGAGAGGGTTTTCCACATTGCGGGGCCTCGTGGCCTCGAATATCACTCGGTTCACCGAAATACAAAATGCCCCTTAAATGAGGTCACAAAAGTCTTGCAGATTTGGTAATATACACGTCAGATTCAACATCATCATAGTCGTCATTGCCGGCTGTGATCCGTCGTCCACTGTGCAATGAAGGCCTTTTGAAGTCTTTGCCATCTCTCACAGTCCTGCGGTGATACAAAATCCACCTGGTCCCTGCGTATGAGCTCACTCTGTGTTCATTTCTTAACGCGCCCGGCTGGTCAGTCCTGATTGTGGAGGGTGACTTTGTTGGGTCTGGTCGTGTGGTGGGTGTTAAGACAAAGTTGGTGAATTTGAACAAGGCTATAGGCTGCGAATACAAAATACATTGAAAATAAGCTATGAAAGACATACTTGAAGCTTGACTTCAAGTATGTGTGTGGTAATTGTAATAATTGTAATAATTGCTGCAGTTTGATCTACAGCCGGGTTAAAAAGTTATAACTTTACGCTTCACCGTCATCCATTACCCGAGTGGGGCATCCTGGTTTTCCACCAGGATCCAAGCATTTATCTGAATATCCCTTGAGTAGCACGCCTCACTTTCTAAACGTTTGCTCTGAGGGTTTCCAAGTGGATTAGAGAACAGACACAGCTTAAGGATGTCATTTTGACCTTGAAGAAAAATAAGTCAGAATCAGAAACTTTATTTAGACCAGAGAGAAATCCAATGAGCCCTATGCAGCTCTTTTTCACAGATGTCCAGTATGGGCGGTCAGCAAGTTACAAAAGCGGAGCGAGGGCAGGAAACGTCACCAGACGGGATGATGCCCAGTGGGCGAGACACAGACGAGCAACGCCCGTTTGCTCGTTGGCGTTTGGGAACGTTCTTCGCCACTGATGTTTAGAGAACGCATCGATTCATCCTCTCGCACAACCTGATGGCGAATGGTCGCGATTCGGGATCCGTTATTTTCTTTTTTTCTTCCCTCACGTTTGCACCGACTCGTTTTGTATTTTGCCGCCTTGTTCGTTCCTTCTTGTTTGTTGTCTTCCATTCGCGGACTTCGTGCCACCAAACATGCAGTGACAACCCGACGACGTGGCTGCGGGTTATTGCGATGCAACCGCTAAAAAAAAAAATGTACAGGCTAGTGGAGCGGTCACGACGCGCCTGCGACCGATTTAACCGCCGCTCTTCGTCTCTCTCGTGTCGCCGATGCCGCGGCAGGCCTTTCTCTGCCGGATGGTGGCTCTGGCTCGCTTTCACGGGCGTGTTCCTGGCCGGCGCGGTGAGCGTCAAGTTCGTGGGGCTCTTCGTGGTGACCCTCGTGGGCCTTCGCACGGCGGCTGAGCTGTGGGCGCTCCTGGGAGACCTCCGCCTGCCCGTGGTATTTCCCCCGCGCAGCTTTGTCATCATCGTCAGTGTCTTTAGTTTGGAAATGTCCCCCCCCCACCCCGCCCTGCACCCTACCCGACTCAACACCTCTCCCGTTTCTGCTCAGGACGACCCAGAAATAAACGGCGAGACGCTCACCGCGTGCGCGCCTCACACGGAGGCAGCGGTGCGCGGCTCCTGCCGGTTTTTTCTCTTGCACAGAAAATAATGCGATTGTTGTATTCAGGATTCCGTCGGGGTATAACTGTTAGGGCACCGGACCGCTTAAGTTCCATCTCCAGGCACGGAATTTGAATTGATGGGCAAAGTTATTAAATCCCCCTTGTCTGTTTCCACCCAGCAGCATAAATTGGTTCACCGCAGTTAAGTCGATCGGCAGGGAGAGTGATGTGGGGCTAAGTGTCGGTACTCCAACCTCTTTCGAGATGTCTGACCAGCGTGGAAGAGTAGGCCAAAAGACTCTCGAACTCCATCTTTGTCGAGGCCCCTTCCTTGAGTAGCGAAGGTGAGCTTGCATTGTCAGGGCTTTTACCTTCGGCTATTTGTGAGCTTTAATCCAACGGGACCGTGGCTTTAACGGGACCGTGTCATGTTTCATTTGTAGAGTGAATTCGGGTGGCACTTTGTGGCGCGGGCGAGCTGCCTTATTGCCCTTCCGGTGGTGCTGTACGTTGTGACGTTCGCTGTTCACGTCGCTGTACTTTCGCAAAGGTGAGTGAGCACAATGCAACGCAGCGTGGAGTGGGTGGCACAGTGATTCACGCACCACGGTTGACATCAGTGGCTTGTGACATCGAGGCTATTCCTTGGCTGCCCCTTCACCAACTCGCACTCACGAACCTCGTGAAGACCATGGAGAGGCCTTCATCCAGCAGTGGATTGGAAAATGGGTCCAAATTAGATGTCTTATAAAACAATATAGCATACGAGTGCAGTGAAGAAATTATCAGGGGCAGGAGAAATATGAATCGAGGTGTAATATTACTAGTTTAGTATGACTAGTATCTTGTTAGAAATTGTTAGTGTAATAAAAAAAACCACAGTAACCTGCGTTGAAGTGACGGTTTTTTTTACCGCGCCTGTAATGTGCTTCTTCTTTTCCATGAATCTTTGTATGCCGCTGGCACATTGTGAACAGGGTAGCAGAGATGCCTGTGTGGATCTTCAATTAAAGTCCATTTCCCTACAACAGCAACAACAACAAAAATAACACCACCCCCTATGCGTCTGCCTTTCAATTTTCACCATCGGACCTGTCGAATTGGCCCCGTTGGCACCGCACTTCGCAACCGCCTGCTGTCTTGTGGAGACGTTGGTTCCTGTCGTTAGGACTGGCGAGAGCTGGCTGGGGATTGAGAGAAATGTAGGTGTCAAACTCTCTGGGACGCGTTCCCAAACAGTCGAAGTACATCCAATGGCCCGTTTATTTGGCTCATGTAGACTGGGATCGCTGCAATATGGCAATACCGCGACGCATCGGACGGTATAGGTCCACCCTGAATCGTATCGTCCGCTTTGCCTAATTTCGTCACGTGGTGATTACAGTTGCTCGTTATTTACACTTCTAAATACTTTCCTTTTCTGCCAAATATTTACGTAAAAAGCAAAATTTTTAGTTTACAGTCGTAATTTCACAACCGTAAATCACAGTTCTAAATGAACAGCTATTACCAATCTACTTAGCGCTTTGAAAAAACGTTTTCCGGAGTAATTTACCGCCGGTGTCTGACACGGCTTTCGTTCAATATTCCATTGAATAAAGAGTCTGTAAATGAGCACGTTTTATTATTCATATATTTGTGGCAAAACGCTGCGGGTGTTGGCGGGTGTGTTGCGGAACTTCTGCAGCGGTGGCTCAGTCAGTGAGGGCACCTTGGCTGTGTGACTCTCGCGACTCTGTTGTGATTGGCTGTTTGTGAATGAGGTGTAATTTTAGGCGATAATAGCAGCCATGGTTACTTTGTTTCCTCTCGTGGCACACGCCGGCCCAGATCCGGTTTGATAGGATCCCGGGGGTGTTATGGTGTTTGGGCGCCCCCTTTTTGTATGTTCGGTTCAATCGGTGGTAAAAAAAATAAAGGGTTTTATTACCCTCTCTGGCGTAAATACAGGTGTTAAGATATTCAAGATACCGACTGGCAAGAGAGGTGTCGTAGCTCTGATCATTCATTTAACTGTTTTACCACTACCACCCATCCATGCCTGATGGCAAGCACTTCACTGTTATTAATTTTGCGTATATAATTTGCAGTTTTAAAATGTGATAAACTAATTAAGACTATAAACGAACTAAACTAGTTTAATGTTGGCTGCACTATTGTTAGTAATACACACAGTGATGCTATGGTTTTAATCACAGTGCTACATTGCTGCATTTAAATCGATATAAAGCAATATATGTATATATACATAGGCTCTGGGCCGCAGCCACTAAAGCCCTTGCGTTAATCCAGCCCTGACCACAGGGTGGAGTGGGAGCTCACTCGCTCCTTGTTGCCCATCCCGGTGCAGCGACAAAGTCGGTGCACTCCGATTCACTCCATCACCATTCAATGAATTGCCGAGATTCGGAGATCACAAACACATTTTTAAATGCTGGTTATTTGTTTCATTTTCCCAGTCTCACTTTGTATTGTTTGCATTGACACCTGTACATTTGGATTAAGCAATGAAAAGTATTCATTATCTGTGTAGAATGTGGGTGGGGAACGTGGAATGACCCATGTGTTGATGCTTTTAAAGTTATTGGTTGACTTTCCAAAACGTTTGTGCCACTTGCCTGATAGCTGAGAGTCAACTGTCACTTTCTGTGCCACTTCCTGATAGCTGAGAGTCAACTGTCACTTTCTGTGCAACTTCTTGATAACTGAGAGTCAACTGTCACTTTCTGTGCCACTTTCTTGTTAACTGAGAGTCAACTGTCACTTTCTGTGCAACTTCCTGATAACTGAGAGTCAACTGTCACTTTCTGTGCCACTTTCTTGATAACTGAGAGTCAACTGTCACTTTCTGTGCCACTTTCTTGATATCTGAGAGTCAACTGTCACTTTCTGTGCCACTTTCTTGATATCTGAGAGTCAACTGTCACTTTGTGCCACTTTCTTGATAACTGAGAGTCAACTGTCACTTTCTGTGCCACTTCCTTGATAGCTGAGAGTCAACTGTCACTTTCTGTGCCACTTTCTTGATAACTGAGAGTCAACTGTCACTTTCTGTGCCACTTTATTGATAACTGAGAGTCAACTGTCACTTTCTGTGCCACTTTCTTGATAACTGAGAGTCAACTGTCACTTTCTGTGCCACTTTCTTGATAACTGAGAGTCAACTGTCACTTTCTGTGCCACTTTCTTAATAACTGAGAGTCAACTGTCACTTTCTGTGCCACTTCCTTGATAGCTGAGAGTCAACTGTCACTTTCTGTGCCACTTCCTTGATAGCTGAGAGTCAGCTGTCACTTTCTGTGCCACTTTCCTGATAACTGAGAGTCAACTGTCACTTTCTGTGCCACCTGCTTGGCGTTTTAGTGGAAATGGAGACGGCTTCTTCAGTTCCGGCTTCCAGGCGAGACTGATGGGAAACAGCCTGTACAACGCGTCCATGCCCGAGTGTAAGTACGACTGGTGGGAATCGTATCGTTGGGCTCACGGGGTCTGCACTCTACCAGTGTTCAGGGCATTTTGACTCCGAGAATGTGACTCGTGAGCCGTTTGATTGGCCCTCGTGTAAAAACCTCTGCCCATGTTCGTACAAGTCCCGGATCAAGTCCTTGCTATTTTTCATCTGCCTGTAAACTGACTAACCTCTACGTATAATGAATATGCTTACGGTGTACTGCACAGCGTCTGGAGATGAGGATGCATTTAGAGCTGGAATGATTGGTCGATCAAGTGGAATAGTCTACTAAGCATTGTAATTTGTGGCCAGGTCAGTGGGCTTTACCTGGTAAAATAAAAAAGTTTTTTGTTAATATATATTTTTAGTTATTTGCTTACCTTTCCTATACTTTGCACTTCTATCGTGTTTTTGTGTTGTTGTAACATTCTGACCCGCCGCTACTAGAAATGTGTGAAAAATAACTTTACAGCTGTAATCGACTACTTATTTCCCGTGGCCGATTACTTGGGACCCCTTTAAAAAAATTGTGGCCACCCCCACGTCCCGCCTGCGAAAGGCGGGAAACGGAATCTTGAGCAAGGCACACCTAGCTGACGATACTAACGACCTCACCAAGCCCCCGCCCATTACCTCCTGTCCAGTGGCACATGTGAGAACGCAGGTGAGGCCTACCTTTTCCAACTATTATTTGTGTTATCCGACTAGTCAAGTCATCGAAGCGACATTCGCTAGAGGAAGACTGTACATTTATCATATGCTTGGAGAGCCCGACTGTTTTTAAACCCTTGTTACGCACTCCTGTGGAGCATCGTGAATCATAAAATAAATCAACGTCTACTTTTTGTACAATATTACTCTTTGGATTGAACAAAGTGTCATTGTTAAGATGGAGTGTTCTGCCAAATAACTCCTGACAATCCAGTAGCTCTGTTTAACAAGCATTGTTACTGCTTATGAGACCCAGAAGGTCAAAACTAGTCCAGAGTTTGTCTGTGTAGACAAATGCTGCTAGAAATAATTGTCTGTGGGCTGCGCGCGGTCTGTGGGCTGAAAGACTAAAAAACCAAATGTAAATCTCGTGTTGTTTGTTGTTGTTGTGTATAATGGTGGTATCAAACGTGGGGAGGAGGGAGAGTAAATAATGTAGAGCTTTGAAGTTTTTCCACTCAGTCATCCTTTAATTACCTTGCTCCCTGTGTTTATTTGACATTTTTAAAATTACATTTCGCATAACACATTGCGTTCCCATCCTGCTGGCAGGATTTTCTTGCGTGGTAAAAAGCTACAATAACGATCCATGCCCAAGAGATCACAACTGATCGATGTTGCTTTTAATACTGTTCATACATTCACATTGCATGTAGCAATTCAACCATTAGCATATTTCTATGAGTTGCTATAATTTATTAATTCGATTTGCACATTGCTTCTTTTGTTGCCGTTATGTTTGCTGAAGTTACAACCGTGGTAATCTATATAATCTATGGTCTTGTAAATGTTTATGTATTGAAAATAATTGATTTTTACTTTCCTGATCGTTCATGTAAATTACAACATTAATCGATTACAATTTGGAGCAATGCATCCGTATTATTTGGAGTTTGTACGTCATTGTAAGCGCTGTGTTAATGTTTACATTTTTTTACGAACATTGATCAAATTGTTCTATTGACATCTAAAATCTCTCACGTAGAATGGTCCACAGAAAGGGATATCACGGAGTTAAATCTGAGTTTTTAAGTGACCTTTCATATTCCTGACGCAATTATTTGGCACATAGACATGACATTAACTTGCTAATCTTTCTAATCTGTTTGCCGAATCTCTCCCATCAACATAGTGCTAATCTCCCATTAACACTGCTGCTGTGCACATATGCTCTTATGCGGTGGAAGCTCATTTACTTTGACATGCTAATCTCTCTCCCTAATCTCTCTCTCCCTAATCTACCCCATTAACACAACTGATGTGCTTGCGTGCGGGGATGGGACTCCTTTCCAGCTGAGACCCCACCTGCTTGGCCAACATATATAACCTCTTGTTGTGGCAGCTCTCTCGCTGTGTTCTTCCTGGTTTAACAGTTCTATTGCTGGATTGTTCTTTCTGCCTGAGGACGATCGCTTGTGTTGCAATCGAAACATCGTGATATATTGTTTTTATTTTATTTTTCGACCTACGTGACTTTACCGAAAGAACAAAAGAGTATGGATTCCTGCAGTCACGAAAGCTTCAAATCAAGATTAAAATCATAGTTGTTGCTCCGCATCAACATCGGCCATACAAAGAAGAGCAAGGAGTCTAGGAAATGCATTTCCTCATGTGCTCAGTCGTTTATATTTTTATGACATGGCAGTAAATCAAATTGTTTTAATTCTCAGAGTTGGCAGTTTTACAAATTACACGAAAAAAACATTTCATACGACACCTTTGTGTGTGTGAAGCAATAGGTGATCACCACGTGCAGCCGAAACCTGAGATATTAACCCAGGATCTCAGCGGTGCCAGCGAGGTTCCGAGACCTCTGAACCACATGGCCACTCTGTTCATGTTTTTCAAGTGACCTGAGGCCTCGAGCGCCCGCTGTCGCGCGACGTGGTGTTTTCCCACAAACAGACATCGCGTACGGATCGGTGGTGACGCTGAAGAATGTGCGGACAGCGGGAGGCTACCTGCACTCACACTGGCACCTCTACCCTGAGGGCGTGGGGGCCATGCAGCAGCAGGTGCCGACATTCGCGATTAAGTTCCAGTGACATCACGTCGGCGCCATCGCAAGGGCATTAAGCGTCGCTCGCGTTGGGGGTCACAAATGTCTCGTGACACTTTTAAGACCGGTGGTTGGCTCGCATACGTGACATTCGATTACCACCGGCAAAATCCGCCATTTCGTTACCGAGACGCAAAGTGTGGCCAACACTTTGCGCCGTGCCGCGGACAACAATTTAGCAACACGGTAAACCCTTGACACTGGCGGATGTTGCGATCGCGGGGTTTGCGTCCTCGCGATACATTTTTCGCGTCGTTGTGCGATTTGAAATTCGCCGTGGTTGCCATTAAGCTTGCAACCGCCCGACAAGAAGTGGTGAGGCGTGTGAGCGTCGCGGATCCTGAAAGTGCCCCCCCCCCAACGCGCCATGCCGCTCTCCCTCTCGGTCCGCCTCTGTCTGCCACACCATTTACACACGAGCGCTTTCCTTTACGATCATCGCCATTAAAGGTGAGTTAAAATAACACTGCGTATTTACCCCCCCCCCCCCACTCCCATATTTAAGACCGAAACAGGAGGACTTCTCCACAATTCTGGCTGTTGCCTGATGAGGCTGCTTGTAATTACCGGCAAAACGTCGTACTAGAACTGTAAATATTTGGGGTTTACTCTCCAACACACCGGTGTGCTGAACTCGCAACTAATTGGCATGTGTTGTTGACGTGACAAACCTTACTAATTGGCTGTGTCGGGTAGTGAATAATATTGGTCTTGAAAGCCTACGTGTTAAACTGGGCATCTTTATTAATTTATTACGTGTTAATATATTTTTTTATTATTCATGATATTTTCAGTTTATGTGTTTATGTGTAAACGTCACATATTCACGCTGTTCTCCAGGAACGCATCCGCCGCGAACATTCAGGATTTACTGGGCATCCAGAGGGGAGGACACAAGTCGGCAGTTGTTCTTCATCGTACCAAAATGATCCCATCAGCCGATGATGCTCTTATCAAGGGATGATGCTCCTATCGAACCAAATCATCCTGAATGTGCCCGCTTTTGTTAGCTCTTTGAAACTAGATGGAAGACTGCCTGGAAATACCAAGGTTTTGTAGGTTCGAGGCAAGGTGGTCAGGAGATCGCGGTGCAGCGAATAATTCTCTGGGTGCTCTGGTTTCCTCCTGCATGCCAAACACTCATGAATGGAATTGGCCAAGCAGCACAATGCAGGACCCTCCTGAAAAAGAGTCTTGAGACTCAGTGAGGCTTTTCCTGGTTATATAAAGGGCATTATTATTATTATTCCCATCCAATGTAATTATTCTCATCCACTGCCATCGTGTAACTTGCAATGGAAGTTTTAATTCGATCTTCCAGGGCGGCAGTTGAGACATTTGTGCAAGTTCACCGCATATAGTCGATTGGCAGGTTGTGTGTGGTGGGGTAAAGTGTGGGTACACCTACATCTTCCAAGATGTATGACCAGCGTGGAAGAGTTGGCGAAATACCCTCTACAGGGGCCTTCTAGAGCTCCCTGTAGCGGAGGCCTTTATGCCACTGGTAGCGAGAGGAAGTAATTGCGGGGCTGCGCAATTCCCTTCACATTTATCACTCAATCTTGCAAGTGCGCAAAATGCATAGGCGGCGTTTAATAGGAGGGCAATGCATTTCTGCTTTCAGGAAATGCATTTTTTCGGTCTCGTTATTTCCCAACAAAATTGCACGGAAGCCCGGCGTGCGGGCGGATCGAAGTGCGCCAAGCTCAAAGACGCGTCGGGGTCACCGAAATTAGCCCGGGAAAGCATCGCTCGAGGCTTTGAAGAAACAGGAGCCTTTTTTTGTTTGTTTGTTTACGTCACATGCCATCCTTTGATGTCATCCCCGACAGATCACCGCCTACACCCACAAAGACCAGAACAACATGTGGCTCGTCAAGAAGCACGACCGGAATCCGAGTAAGAGAGAGCGAGCGAGAGCGGGCGGCGCTTATTCGAGAGAGAAAAGAGTATTTGAATGCCGCGTCCCTGAAGTGAAAAGAGAGATATCAATTAATGCCGCCGCCGCTATTCGAAGGGGGGTACTCGTGATGATTAATGAGCGTGGCAGCTGTCGTCGTCTGGGTGCGTGTGGCCGCGCTAATGAGGGTGATATCCGCGCCGATTGCCCCCCGCAGGTGACAGCGACCCCCCGGAACTCGTGCAGAATGGAGATGTCATCCGCCTGGAGCACGTCGTGTGAGTTGCACTGGAATGTGCCGCAGGCGTAATGAAGACGACGACGATGATGATGATGATGATTAAAATGAGAATGCTGCAAAGCAAGGGGGTATGAGAGAAGAAGACGTGAAATCGTATTGAAGAGTCGCTGTAGTTTCCGGAGTTAAGTCCCCCCCGTGGTCAGTCTTCAGGATTTGTTACGCTCACCTTTTCGTTGTAGCTGTCTATTAACATATTCCGCAGTTATAATTCAATGTTCATTCCTTCCACGGGAAATCCCAATTTAGCCAGGTACCGAGTTAGTTTCCATGGCAACGTCACAACTACTCAGGAGTTACTGTTGGGGAGAAAGGAGCTCAGCCACGAAACCCAAAGCATTGATCATTTTCAATAGTACTATAATATACGGAACAGAAGTGAATTTTATTAAACTCTTAGTCCACATTTATGAATGCATGCGTTATATACCTGCGGCATGTATTCCATATTGAGCTGCAATTGGTTTTATCACAAATTTAAAGCTGTCCTTAAAAAAATTGCCATTGTGATGTATCACTGATGCCACTAGCCTCCTGGAGTGGAAAATGTACACGAGGGATAGGGGCATAATGACCCATTGATTCATCAATTAATATCGATTCTTAGGTTCATGATACATGCATCCAATCGTGCGTGTACGAATTGACGATTTTCGATTCATCTCTGTTCCATTGCAATGGGTTCACGTGATCTCTCCAGCCACTAGAGGCCACAACCATTCACCACAAGGGAAAAAAAAGAGAACTAATTCTTGAGTCAATTTGAAGCTGAGAATCGCGACGATACATCAAATTGTTGGGTGGCTGTGGGAATCTGTTCCATCTCTAATCCATATGTGTGCGACGTTCATGCATTTTTTAAATTAAAAGGTAATGGTGCTGACGCCTGGTCTCTCAATCATTTTGATTAATCGTAATCTTCAGTTTTGACAATTGAATCGTGACAGTGGTGATGGCCCGGTGGAGGGTTCGGACAGAGGGGGGGCATCGGGGAGCTAAGGGTGGTGGATTGTTACATCTCTAACAAGGAACGTTGGGTTTTTGTTTGCACCATCAGAACAAAGAGGAACCTGCACAGTCACAAGGAGCGCGCTCCCCTCTCCTCGAAGCACTTGCAGGTCACCGGCTACGGAGAGGTATGGCCGTGGCGGCTCGGCCCGTGCTTTGGTTACGTTTACAATGACCCCCTCCGAATAACCTTGAAGCGTCCTGCGTCGGTAACCGGTAATGGATGATAATGGAGATATATTAACAGCGTGTAGACACAAAAGCAATTGCGCGCATTCGATGTTTTCCCTTCAACCACTTGCAATTGGAACATTTTTGGTAATTTCATCGCAGCGTAATAGATTAACAACCGAGACCTGGCGAGGGCATTTCATTTTGTTGTCAGTTCCATGCTGTGCTTCATTATTTTCACGAAATTGCAAGTGAGTCGAGTGTCGGACTATGCTTGGATTTGTCAGAGTGCGAGCTGCTGGTGGATAAAGCTGATTGAGCCAGCTCTCTGGCCTGAAGTTGTGGCCGGATAATTCCGAAGGCCTAGGTAATATGAGGATATATTCTAATTTGACTAAATCAGTGAGTCCCTGTTTCCAGTCATTACGTAACATCACGATGATTATGCTGTGTTTGTTGATGCATACAAATTCAGAGGCGATATTTTTAACGTGGAAACGTATTTTGGAGAAATTAATATTCAGACCTTTTGCACTTTGTTAAACATTCGTACAAAGATGAAAATAACGATTAAAAATAATGAATATGCATGGATTCTCTAACGCATTTTAACAAGCCTTCGTCTTCGTAAATATGAAATTAGCAATAACAATAGATTCCAAGCTGCACAACGAGATGATGTCACGTGATGTGTCATCGCCTTGGCCAACAAATCTTATTTTTTTTAAGTGGCATCCCTTTGATACAATGTGACCGTTTTTTTTTTAATTGGTGCAACTTTATGCTGACGGTTTGCGAACATTGTATCATCTCTACGAGAGTTATCGTGACCCTCCACTTTATACACATGGACAGACGGACGGACTGGGCTCATGCATGAACGCTTTCAGCCCTTATTTAGAATGTGTCATACATTATGGACGTTGGATGATTATACAATCTTATTTTAAAAGGAATATATACTGATATATATATATTTTGTATACCAGTTGCATTGTTGCTACAGGAGCAGCTCTTTTTAAATATTCTCGTCCGCCAGCTGGGATGGATAATCTACGGCCTCGGATGCGTCCAACATACTAGCCCGTTGTTAATGTAACCAAGTCCACCGTTATCGATTGCGTAAAAACGATGGTGCAGAACAAGGGCAAAAACGGTAACTTGAAATTAAATCTTAACGGGCTGTCAGTGTAAATGAATGTGAAAAAATATATATAATGGAATAAAAATAAACACCGCCATTCCTGTGAGAGTCCCCGAAGCCCCTCGCAACATCTGTCGTGGAAACAGTTCTCAGTTTTATGTTTGTTGCCATGTGAGAGTCTGAATTTACAGAGCGGCCCATCGGTTCGCCTGCCTGTGTGTGTGTGTCGGTGGCGCAGCGGTTAGTACGCTGCGCTTACAAACCCATCGACCTGAGTTCGATTCCCGCTCACGATCCATAACAGTGGCGAATATCTGAACTGATCCCGTGCCTCCCCTAGCCCGACTCGGCCATGCACGAGTACCTGGTGCAATGTGTAAACGTCGCCACTGGGGAGACAAAGGCGACACATGGGGGTGGCAACCCACCCCTTTGTGGCAACCCACCCCCTTGTGTGCCGTGCCAGCCTTCATCGGTGCTCGCTAACAGCACTTGCCCCAACAGTGAGTTAAAGGCTTTAGGGGGATCTTTGTCTTTGTATATATGTGTGTGTGGGGTGTGTGGGGTGTGTGGGGTGTGTGAGGTGTGTGAGGTGTGTGAGGTGTGTGAGGTGTGTGAGGTGTGTGGGGTGTGTGGGGTGTTTGGGGTGTGTATGTTCATGGGTCTGTGGGAAAATCTGTTTCGTTGCATGTTCGGTATACATGTGTGTGTATGTATGTGTGTGTATATACAGCTCTCTATATCTGTGTGTGTGTGCGCATGGCAGCGTGGTGCAGTGGTAACACTTTCGCCTCGCAGCAGGGAGGCCCTGGGTTCGATCCTTGACTCGAGCGCTTTTCTGTGCGGAGTGTGTACGTTCCCCACCTGTTCTGCACGAGTTTCCTCCGGGTGCTCCAATTTCCTCCCATTGCTGGAAAAAAAAAACACGACAAATTATTACCAGCAAAGCACTCGGTTGGGATTATTACATCGCAACGTCGACTGCGAAACGCGTCGTCAGGAGGCAGGACGCTCCCGAAAAAAAAGATTCTTGGGGACTCGGTGAGTCTCTCCTGAGTAAACAAGCCGAGTAGTAGTAGTAGTCGTAGTAATAATAATAACGATGCACGTTGTCCCCTGTGGCCTGTGCCGGCGGCAGAACGGCACGGGGGACTCCAACGACTTGTGGCGCGTGGAGGTGGTGGGCGGTGCGACAGGGGAGGCGCTCGGGGTGGTGCGGAGCAGAGTGCGCCTGGTGCACCTGCCCACAGGCTGCCTGCTCCACTCGCACTCCAAGATGCTGCCCAAGTGGTGAGAGATCCGCTCGGGGGTGAGCGCAGTGGCCTGTCCACCCTCCCACGGCGCAGGGTGCCCATCTCCCACAGTCATGATAATTGAAATTTATAAAGCTTCACATTTACCCTCTGCTTCTTTTCACTCACGCTGCCCCACTTTGGAATTCCCTCCCGTCATCTCTTCCCCCCCCCCCCAAACTCTTACAGTTAACCTTGCTCGGAGCAAGTAACGGTTTACGAGCATGCCTTCATCCGTGCTGTTTGTCGCAGGCTGCTTGGCAATTTGGGCCTGTGGGTCGGTGCTTGGCAACTGGAAGGTTGATGTGCCCGATGTATTTCTGTTTCGTTTAATATTTTGACCCTGAATGATGTTGTGGATTCTGTCTGCTTTGCGGATTCTGTCTGCTTTGCAACCTGGATTTACCTCCAAAGAGATACTTTTAGTCGCACTGGGCTCTCAGCCGAAATAAGTTTAAGAGTATCACCGACTGACTGAGCCGACTCCGTAATGTCAAGGCATGTTGTTGAGGAAAGGTGAAGGGATGATAATGCTTTATTTTCCGTCTCTTACAAGGGATAAGGAAGAAAACAGAAACGTAGTGAACAGTGATAATGGAATACGGTACGGAGAGAAAAACTGAAACTGCCTCATTGCTTCTTATTTATTCCAAAAGTCCTGCGTATCTGGCGCCATTAATTTTACAGCTGTTGTGTGCCTCATCGATTCTTTGGCAAATGCAGCGTGCTGGAAACGGCCTGCTTTGTGACGGTGTGGTCTCATCCATCCGTTGCGATTGAATGGTTGGTTGAGTGCACTCTTGAAGTGGGTCAGTAAGCTTTAGCGACAGGGGCGCGCGTGTATTTGTGTGTGTGTGTGTTGTGGTGCCAAGCCAGGCCACAAGCGTCGTGGTGACGTCACCGCCACTTCGTGGCGAATGGCGGTTGTTGTTGTGTTGTGGTGGCGGGAGTGCAACGGTTAGCACGCTGCGCTTACGAACCCGGCGACCCGAGTTCGATTCGCACTCAATTCGCGCTCACGGCCAACGCCAGTGATGATTATTTGAACTGGTCCCGGGTCTCCCCTAGGTCGACTCAGCCACACATGAATACTTGGTGCAATGTGTAAAAATCGCCACTAAGGAGACAAAGGCGGGCGGGCGTGGTGCTGGCCACCCACCCCCTCGTGTGCCGTGCCGGCCTTCATAGGTGCTCGCTAAGAGCACTTGCCCCAACAGTCTGCTATGCCTATGTGGGGGATCTTTGTCTTTGTGATGTGGTGTCTTTGAAGGGGCTGGGAGCAGATGGAGGTGACCTGTAACCTGTATAAGAAGGACACCGGGAACGTCCTCTGGAATGTGGAGGAGCATATTAATCCCAAATGTAAGTTTTGATGCAATAATGCCGGGATAAAAAAAAGTCTGTGTTTTTACTTCGCAAGCATTAACTACAAATTCATAATCGTTGAGTCGTATGTGGTAAAAGTCTTCCTTCGATTATTTCGCCTGAGAAATTAAACCGATGTGAATAGATGATATCTGTTCATCTCTCTGTGCCTGCCTGTCTAACAGTTTTTATATTATGTTCAGCTGATGTACAGTGAGGGAAAAAAGTATTTCATCCCCTGCTGATTTTGTACGTTTGCCCACTGACACGTAAACAGAACATGTAAATTCGTTACTAGTACAGCACACCGGTGTGTTGGATAGCAAAGCCACAACATTTACAATCTGCGTACGAAGTTTTTCCAGTGATTACAACTAGCTTCATCTGGCTGTAATTACTGGCGAAACGTCGTACTCAAATTGTTAATGTGGCTTTGCTGTCCAACACCCTGGTATGCTGTACTGGTAACGAATTGGCACATTCTGTTTACGTGACAAACTTTACTAATTGTCTGTGTTGGGTGGTGACGGGTTAACGACACATTTATATTTTTACGTGATCTAACCCAAAAAAAATAGATATGAAGCAAAAAAAAAACCTGTTTGTACAGTTTAATTTGCTTCATTAGCCCAAATAACTTTTAACAAAAATAAATATGCATTTCTCTGCAACTTTCCACAAAAGCATTTCACCTTTATCTGTGGCCATGAAACAAAATGCTTTATGGTATACATGCATGCACTTAACGTCACATTTGCAGTGCCCAACGTCAGCTTTGAAGTGTTCAAGTCGTCCTTCCTGGAGGTTTTTATCGAGTCCCACATCGTTATGGCGCAGGTAAATGGGGCGCCATGGTGGCAAGATGTTACCTCTCACACCTGGTGTGATCCCAACCCTGATGCCTGTATATTTGAAGTTTGTGTGTCTCTCCCCGTGGTTGCGTGGGTGTTTCTCCAGGTCCTCATGGGTTTTCCCTCTACATTTAGAAACATGCGTTTTGAGTATTTGGCTGCTACAAATTGCCACTTGCTTAAGCTATCATTTGTGGCCAGGTCGCTTTTGAAAAAGAGCGAGAAAGCTCAGGGGATGATTTTACCTGGTAAAATAAAAGAGTGCAACAAGGGGTAGGATTTTTGGAAAGCAAGTTAGATTATTTTTTGTTTGTTTCAGAAATGTATTGTTAATGTCTCGTCGATACATGACAGAAGTGTATAACAATTAATTATCCCAGAGTTGCGATGAATTGTCAACGATCAGGGTCACGATTCGATTTTTATAACTGATTGCGTTTATAACCTTGGTAGTAATTGTAGTGACCTCTTATTGCCTGCAGAGGTCACGTGAACCTGTTCAATCCGACATATGGGTGTAAGAACATCGGATTCTTCCACACATGATTTGATGCACATGTGTTGAGCTTAAATAATATTGGTGTGTTATTACACATATCCTAGAGTACTGTATTTTAGTAAATAAAAAAATAGTCTCAAAATAGATTTCGATTTAAAGCTTTCGGGACTGCAATGATTCATCTTCTTTGGTTCTTTCGGTAAAGTCACGTAGAATGAGAATAAAATAATAAATTGCTAAAATAAAATAACACAATAATATTCTCACGACGTTTCGGCCACAACACAAGCGGCCTTCATCAGGTGAAGGGGGCGAGACTGTCTGGTAGGACAGCGCTGTCCTACCAGCCGCTTGTGTTGTGGCCGAAACGTCGTGAGAATATTATTGTGTTATTTTATTTTATCAAGTTATTATTTTATTCTCATTCTACGTGACTTTACCGAAAGAACCAAAGAAGAAGTCTCAAAATAGGTTTTAATCTTTTGCCAGTCCACTGCTGGATGACGTTTTCCCCATACTGTGTTGGTCTTTGTGGTCGTTTGGACATAGTTCACCATGCTGGTCAGTGCCGGTTAGTGACGGCGTGGGTGGGAGGGGGTCCAGGAATAGTTCAGATGTCACTCACCGCTGATGTTAGCCATGGTTGAGAATCAAACTCAGGACACCGGGTTCATAGGACATTATGAAAACTATTGCCCCACCACTCTCATCTGCTCAAGAAAATCATACTGAGGGTTATCCTATCTGTTACCAGCCCCAAGATAGTGGTGGGCATTCCATATTCCCATGGCAGAGGTAATTTTGTCTCTAGGACTATAATGGTTAAGTAATACCCACACACAAGGTACAGATCCATTTGTAGATACCCCAATAAAATGATGTGAAGAAATTACGGAGAAAATGTGATTTTATTTCTAAGCATCTACACGTGGCCCACCAATCTCAATACGAGTGCGACATCTTGTAACACTCTCCTCTGTAAGATGTGGTGCCGTTGATTCCACGGTTTTCATTCATTTCTTGCAGAAGAAAGGTGCTCATTAGACATATAGTGGGGTGTCTATAAATGAATGGATCAGGCTGTGTGTGTGTGTGCACATGACAGGATATAAGGGTGATGCTAAAAATAAAATAATGGGGGAAGTGCAAGTCCCAGCTAGCAACTGTCCTCCCCCAAATATTTACCGCTATTTTCAATCCAGAGAATCCCATGGCATGAACATTTGGCTTGTTGTGATGAAGTGGCAGGGGTGGCATAGCGGTGAAACTTGTGCCTCGCAGTCATACGCACCTGGGTTCGATTCCCAACACGGGCACCTATCGTGTTTGGGGGTTTGTATGTTCTCCCCCCTGTTCTGCACGGGTTTTCTCTGGGATCTATGGTTTCCTCCCATTGCTAAACAAACCAAAAAAAAGCATTGTAACTGGTATTGGCAAAACATCCCAATGCTGAAAAATTATATGCAATATACTCAGTTGGGATCACGCTGTGCAACATTGCCCCCCCCGCACTACTGTGAAAACTCGGCAGGACTGTCCTGAAAACAATTATTGAGACTCAATGAGGCTTTTCTGGGTTAATAAGCATGATAATACTAATAATGAGGTTCTACAGCTATCGTAGTGAAATGTCACCGGTTTGGTTTTTGCAGAGCAACAGTGGGCTGAAACCCAAGGAGAATGAAGTGACTTCACAGCCGTGGCAGTGGCCCATCAACTACCGGGTAGGGCCCTGGTTCCTGATTTCTCTTTGACACGTGACGGTCTTGCTCCCCTCGCGATTCGATTAATTGACGTGATTCGATGGATGTTTCCTTGGTAATTATATCCAGCATCATTGGCGAATTTACATCCAGCATCATTGGGCAAAATCGCCCGATGATGCTGGATGTAATTACCGGCAAAAACGTGTTCAAATTCTAAATGTTGTGGATTTACTCTCCAACACACCGGTTGGCTGAACTAGTAACGAATTGGCATGTTTTGTTTACTTGACAAACCTTACTAATTGGCTGTGTCTGGTGCTGGTGGGTTTCCGACACATTTATACTTACGTTATCTGAACCATAAAAACCTTTTATTATGAATAATATTGGTCGCGAAAGCCTATGTGTCACACTGACATTGGCGTTGGCTGTGGCCAGGAATTTAAGTCGGTTTGCAATGAGCTAACCACTTTTGCACCGTTCCACCTCTGGTACTTAGAAATTTAGATATAAGGTGTTTTTGTTGTTGTTATAATTAAATCAGTTATGTGAAAAAAAGTGAACTGTGCATTTGGCTTGCAGTGCCACGCTACTTTGTTGTACACATTATTGTCACAGCTGTCATTGCTGTGAATAGGTTTTGTCAAACTATGAAGCAATTTTTAAAATAATCCTTTGCTGGATTTACAGGCTTTTATACGCTGTGTGTCAGTCAATGGAGGTGGTTTGACCACCTGCCGTGACTGACACAGATTAGTGAAACGGGGGGGTGGGGGGGGGGGGTGCCCAGAATTCACTCGGCACCATTGTGAGCCGTGGCTGGGAATCACACTTAGGGAACCAGGTTAACAGGGCAGTGTTTTAGCAAGTGCGTGACCGCCGCCTGTTTTTTTTATTTACTTCATATGAAGTCATATAAATCTTGACATCTTTGTGTTGGATCTTGAGCCAGTTGAATTTCAAGTCTCCCTGCGTTAAAACCAAACGACAGGCTGTTCATGACTCGTCGTGTCGTACAGCCTCTTGTACAAGTTTGTCACGAGAATGTCTGGGTTTTTGGATCGGTTAATTTAGCTTGGTAGCATTATCTAGAGCAACAGAGACCCATAATGAGAAGTCTCAGTACGACTGAGGCTGGCTTAAAGGTTAGTGGAATCACCAAACCCACAATATTTGGTGTTGCCATCATCTTCGTGCTTTCAAGGTTCTTGTGCTTTCTGTCTCACTCTAAGGAGCCGAGACGCAGATACTCAAGGGATCATTGAGGGAATGACTTAACTCCTTCGTTCTTAAATTTCTTCGCAAACCTTGTACTAGTGCATGAAACTAACATGACTGTGACTGACCATAGACTTACTGTGGCTGACCATAGACTTACTGTGGCTTTGCCAGGAGGGACCCCTCAGAAGGGAGCTCACTTTGGGGTCTAGAGCCAGGAAGGACGCCTCAGAAGGGAGCTCACTTTGGGGTCTAGAGCCAGAAAGGACCCCTCAGAAGGGAGCTCAGTTTGGGGTCTAGACCAAGGAAGGACCGCAAGGGGTTGGTGCCGGATGGTTGATGTTTCTACAGACTGTCTCGGCCTATACTCCTACGCTTGACTTGAATATAAATCTGCACCAGATCTTACTTTAGAACTATATCAATTCTATATTAAATGTTGATAAATATTTATTGATATCTACTATCCAATTGCTTTAGAGATCCTAAGCAACCCTTATTCCATAATTCATACGTTTGCCTTTGATCCCGTACGGCTTTTTGAAGGTAGTCAATTAATTATGGAGATGATATCTTCAGAAGCCTATTAAAAGTTAGGTCTGCTTCACAATGTGTGAGTCACACTGAGCCTGAGTGGATAGTCTGATTAAATGTAACATGTGCTTAAAAATATACTTACTCTATTCGTCTCAATGTATTCGTCTTTTGACTCGTCTCTATATAAGTTACAGGCTACTCATGAAATGTACATTATAGGACCTTTTTGCCAATATAAATAAGGATGAAATATAAGAATAGGTTTTACCCTTTCTGGCAATAAAACAGGTGATAAGATGTTCAAACATCAGACAGATACATTTTGCAAGGCATCAAGTCTGCATTAACCACACGTACTTGTGGTGAACATGCAAACAAACATGCTCTGATAATATATGGGCATTGTCTTTGAAACTGATTGGCCTGGCCTACACCAGAGACAGCCTTCTTTATGACCTAGTCTCACTAACAGTGTCAGAGTAGAGAACGCCATTCTTGATACTGCTCGAAAAGGTCCTATAGATGCAACTGTTCGATCCGCGCTAGAAATGCTCGGATAGTGCATCGTCTTTGTGCTGTTGACTTTTGGCTGTCTTTGGTGTAGGTCAATTTAGTTCCAAAGACAATGCCATATATTATCAGAGCATGTTTGCTTTGCATGTTTTGTCACAAGTACGTGTGGTTAATGCAGACTTGATGCTTTGCAAAAGGTATCTGTTTGGTGTTTTAACGTCTTCACACCTGATTCTTTGCCATAAAGGGGTAAAACTTATTCATATTTTTCATAATTGTTGATTTTTGTTGGTCATATATATATTTTTTGTTGCAGCTTGGAACATCAATAGTTCATTGTCTCATGTAACTGTGTCACGCACACCCACGTGTATGTATGTATGGACACACGCATGCGCACACGCACGCACGTGTTCTCAGAAAATCGAATTACTTTTTTCCCCTTCAGGGCCAGCGGTTTTCGGGCGTTAATGAGACCGATTACCGCGTGTACTTATTGGGAAATCCGGTGAGTGGCGTTTTGTTGTCACCTTTTGTCCTCGCACGAATGTACCAATTACGACGTGAAGGAAAGTAAAAATGTTCAGCATTCCGTTCAATTTATTACTAACTCACTATCAGTCCTGCTTGGCATTCAGCTCCAGGGGACGAGAGGTGAGGAGCAGATCGGAGTGTAAATTGAGAGCGGCGGGTGTCGGTTCTTAGAAAACGCATCACAAATTGGCCGAGCCGTGACGTGGCTGACGTTGAAGGTGCGAGTGGTTGCCCAGGGATGCTGGATTTGGCCACAAATTGAGAGATCAGACACTCCGAGGACCAGATTTGCCATTAAAGCAGCACACTGGTCCATGCTAGAATTGTGCACAGTTCTCGTTTGGGGTCTTGTTAAAAAAAACGGATTGCTGGAATGATAATAAGACACTTGCACATCCAGCATGCAGTCCAGTGACCAGTTGAGTGGAGCATGAGTAATTTATATGCAGTTTTCTTGCTTAATACATCAAATGCAGGTTTTACATTTTTACCAGTGTATCTGCATGTACAGGCATTTTTTTATCCACTGCTGGATGAGGGGCTCCCCCCCCCCGCCACACACCCTGTGTCTGTTGTGGCGGTTATTTGACCATGCTTCACCATGATGGTCGGTGTGGGTTTGGGAAGGCGGGGAGAATAGAAGTATGGTACGACTGTGCTTTGTTTCTGCACTGCGATAGCCCTCCAGATATAATCACATACCTGTTTATAGATCTGTTTCTTTGCTTGCTCATTGGATCAATGGTTTTTGGTCGTGGTCAGGTGATCTGGTGGTGGAACCTGGGCAGCCTCTTTGTGTTTCTGGTGATGTTCTGCTTCTTGGGGTTTGCGATCCGTCGCCGATGCCCCCTGGCCAGCAAGCTTCAGGGTGAGATGTGACGATGGAGCGTGCATTCGGACCGCCACTTCTTGCTTGAGTAACAACACAACAGAGCAAGGATTCGGTTGTGCCCAGACCTCCCGCGAGCCTTGTGACCACACTGGCCAGCTTCTCTCCCCTCCTCTCTCTTACAAATTGGGCAGGAATTCTCAAAAAAAAACTGCCTGCCTCTGGTGAAACGAGGACAACTTGGATTGACCACGGAGACTTGAGAATTGGACACTTAGTCTATGACAACAGTTCTCAGAAGCACAGTTGGATTCCCGCACCTCCAATTAGCACAGCTGGTTGACGAACGGTGCGAAAGAAATCCAACATACATACAAACCATTATACATTACACACTACACTATACACTACACTACACAGTACTGTACACTGCGATACACTGCATGGTTATACACTCCGATTAGCACGGTTGGCTACGTATGGTGCGAAAGAAGTTCATCATACTACTATACACTACACAGTACACTACCATACACTATACACTACTATATATTACACTACGATACACTATACACTACTATATACTACACTACGATACACTACACTACTACAGACTCCGATTAGAACAGTTGGCGACGTACAACATACATACAAGGTACTTATTTACACATTTGCTCATCTTTCCCCTGCATATCTACGCGTGTTAATTCTTACTTTGTGCGTGTTGTCATCCGGTTGATGCGAGCTTGCCGAGACTGCAGTTAGACAAGACATGGCTTCGACTGTTGTCTAAGCTACAAAATGACTCCACGAAGAAATGTAACCATAATTTTGTGTGATCGGCGGTGTATGTGTGTGTGTGTGCATCTTGAACTTCTTTCGCACCATACGTAGCCACCCGTGCTCGTCGGATGTGCAGGCACACGAACAAATTGCAAGAATTATCTGCTATGAAGAAGACTCATCGCCTGAAACGTCGCCATATTATGTATATTTTCCTCTTGTTCTTACTGACACCATCTTGCTCCGCTTGCTCTAATCTCTGTGTTAAAAAAAACTGGTCATGATGGTTCCCACCTCATTCCACTCCACATGGCCATGCCATCTCCTTCTTGCTTCCCTCGCTTTTGTCAACAAGAGACATTTTTTGACTTAAAACGGAAGAACCTGATGTGCTCTGTCTAGCCAAAGTTGGTCGGCAACCGTGGAAAGTCACCGACAAATTCTTCGCACCTCTCCCCACCCCCCCACAGTTATATTCTGAGGTCCCGACCTCTCTTCTCACCTCCGATTAGCACGGTTGGCCATGTACGGTGCGAAAGAGGTTCAAGTTCAATGTTCTCGTGGTGGCCGTGGTTTTGACGAATGTGTGTCGAACTTGTTATTTGTGCTCGTGAAGAAATTGGGCTGGCGCGCGCGATTCATAGTATTACCTGTGAAAGCCTACACGTCAGGGCCAAGATGCGTTTCTCATTTTTGTAAATATTTCCCCTCACCCAGCCCGCACCCCAGAGTTTATGGACGGCGGGTTCTGGTTTTTCCTGGGCTGGATGCTGCACTACCTGCCATTCTTCACGATGGGTCGCGTCCTCTACTTCCACCACTACTTCCCGGCCATGATGTACAGCAGCATGCTCACCGGTGCGCAGCAGGCGAGGCGTTCGTACAAATTGACACTTTCTATTGGTTGTGATTGTCTTATATTTTTTGTTCAGGCAAAGCTTTGCCAGGTTGTGTCAGAGTGCGTCTCTTTGTGTCCCTGCACAGTCTCTTTCTTGTTCTTTGTGTCTCTGTGTCTGCGTCTCTGTGAACCTCTCTGCGTCTCGTATTGTCTCTGTGTCACTTCATGTGTGCGTCTGTTTTTAATTTTGGGTCTCTGTTGTGTATTTGTCTCGTGTGTGTGTCTCTCTGTGTTGTCATGCGTCTTCAGGTCTCTTTGTATCTTGCTGTCTATCTCTCTCCGTGCGCGCTCACGTCTCTGTGTCTCTGCGCACCTCTCTGCTTGTGCTGGTAGCGGCCACGTGGGACGCCGCTCTGCGCTGGGCGGGCCTCTTGCTGGGCCACGCCGGGGAGAGGTTACACACGGCCGGGACGGTGCTGATGCTGCTCCTCTGCGTCTACAGGTGCCGCTCCAGTTGTTTGTATGTGTGTATGTCTGTACAACCGTGCTAATCGGAGGTACAGGGGAAGGACAACAAACTAAGCAGAAATTTTTTTTTCCGCAAACTCATATTTCACGATGCGATATCAAATTTTCTCGACATGACATTTATCGATATATCAATTACCTGTAACTTTTTAGTCAGATTGCACGTTTTTATTTGTATAGAATGGTTTGCTGTACTCCCAACACACCTAAAGATTGTCTGAACGTTCTTGAATTGTAATTCACTCAGCATAGGCCTGCCTTGCAAATCAATACATTCAATATCGCCTTTAATGCACATGCTCTCAGTTCTGCTAACACAATTAAATAAGTAAATTAACAAATAAAATTATCACATTGGTTTTCGCAGCCAATATTATGATTTTTGGGTTATGCCGCCAAACCGAAAAAATATAATGAAAGAAAATGTTGACATCATATAAACTCCATGCTGTCTATCACTCTCAAATGTTTTTGTGCAAAGTATCACTTTAATAGATAACAGCTATTTATTTGAAAATTTATTTGCAGAGATAAAACATTTCAGGTAAATTAAACTGCCAGCAATAATCATGATATGACAATTTTTTTCTAAACGGAGGATTCCGTCCCTGATGCCTCTTGTATATTTGGAGTTTGCATGTCCTCCCCGTGGTTGCGTGGATTTTTCTCCGGGTCTTTTGGTTTTTCCCTCCACATTTAAAAACATGCGTTCTCAGCATTTGGCTGCTTAGAAATTTCCATGTGATAAGCCACTTTTCTGAGCTGTCATTTGAGTGGGCCTTACCTGGTAAAAGCCGAGTTTCCCAAGGTTCATGATTTTTGTAAAGAAAGTTAGTTGATTTTTTTGTTTGTTCCAAAAATGTTTTGTTAATCTCTAGTCGATACGTGCCAGGAGTGTAACAATTAATTCTCCCAGAGTTATGAGACCTCCTTTCCCAGAGTTGTGATGAATTGTCAACGATCAGGGTAACCACTCGATTTCATAACTGATAAGTGTTCATAACCTTTGTAGTAAATGTAGTGACCTCTTATTGCGTCGCAAAAATAGTTTATAAATAAAAGTAGTTTATTTTACGTGTGATTATCGTGGATTTTACATCGTACGATATACCGTAGCGAACCAGCGGTCACCGTGTTGCCGCGAAACCATTGTGCTGCTGCACGCGACTCGACCGCCCACTCACCTGGCCGCTCACCTGGCCACTTAGCTCCGACTCCTGGCTTCTCTCCAGCAGGGCGGTCGGCCAGCGTGGCGAGAGCGTTTAGCGGGGGACGTTCAGAAACGCCGTCGGGGTGAAATTGGTCGTACACCGAGGCCAATCGATGCGGTGTTTCCTGCCAACCGACGCATGCCTCGTGTGCGTTTTATACGTTGGGGAATTAAGTTTGTCCATTGTATTTTAAGTGCGGTAAGTGGTAGCGATTTTTTTTCCTTTGTTCATTTTTCCACATTAATTGAGCAGCATTGGTCCTTAAGTGACTCATTATAAATGACCTCGCCCTGACAGTTGTTGTGAATGGTGTCGGGTTTGTTTTCATCAAAGGCAGCGGAGCGCAGCACGGATTTAATTACTCTGCTACTTTGTGTTACTGAAGGTGCTATAGAAGGTGTTACTTAGGGTGGCATTATGCCTTGTTGATATTGCAGTGCTCAATGTCCTTCCAAAACGTGCCTGCTGGTTCCAGGATGGTGAAAAACTCACTCAAATGCGATGAAAATGTGCATTCATGTTTTCTAATGTACGTGTATATGTTTGCTTCTGCAGTTTTTATCTCTTCCACCCGCTTTCGTACGGGATGACGGGGCCTTACTCAACGGATCCCAGCAGCGATATGGCCGGCCTGCGATGGATGGATGCGTGGGAATTTTAACCTCTCAACCTTTGGCTCTGCCAGACAACTAGAGGTGGTTGGACTGCGGCTGTTACCTGTGACTGACACTGCAAAATATCGGAGATGTCGACTACTGATTAGAACCATTCTGGATTTTTTTTTTTTACCACGTAGTGCCAGTCATGGGGCCTGTTCGACCGGTTGGTGTGGATGAGGGAAGAGTGGGGAGGGTCGGGGGTACTGGTTGGTGGCCAGGGTCGGTTTGGATATGTATGTATGAATGGTGAACTTCTTTCACGCCGTACATAGCCAACCGTGCTAATCGGAGGTGCGGTGGCTGGAAATCAACCTCAGATATTACGGGTTCATAGCATCAGTGCACTAACTGTCGCAACATTGCTTCATCCTAGAAATTGACCTTTTATTGATGACATTTTGGTTTTAATGGAGTAGCGGGCAATCACTTGTGTCACTTGGGTTTATTGTTTATTCTAAAAAGCAACAACAAAAAACCTCAAGTATTAAAACACCATTTCTGCAAAAGTGCCCTCATTCATCTATGGTGGTTTATCAAACACCACTCTACACGTGACTCAACATCGGGGCGGCACGCGTTTATCGGAATTGTAGAGGAGTTCGGAGTAGAACTGCGCTTGAAATCGGGCGAGTGCAACCGTCCACCTGATTCGCTGCCCGTAATGTCGTAAAGAAACGAAGCGTGATGGGAATGCAAGTCATAAGAGATTGTGAGGGAAAAAAAAACAAAAGCCTACGTTACGTTGCACGCCAAGAAAGCAATTTGTCGGCGTTTTGGACAACTGCATTTTCCTTAAAAAGACCAAAAGCATTCTTCATTAGCCATGCCCGTCTCCAAGGTTATCTTTTATTAGCCTGCGAAGCGGGGACATTCATCCTCGTGTTGACTGCACGGCTCACCCCGTGCGTTTAACGAGTACCTTAATGAATGGACGACTCCCCGCGCAATTCGCGGCCGAAATTTTCTGCGCGTCGTCGTCGGCATGCTCAGAAGACGGTCCTCTGCGACGTGCCCATTTACCTGATTACCGTAGCGCAAGCTGTGGTCTAGCCCAGGACTCCCCGACACGTTTCCAATTGGTGTTGAATCGGCGGGGCGTGTTTGGCACGTCGCGAGCAATTTGGTAAATTCGGTTGAGCTGTCAGAAGGTGGAACGTAGCGCGCGACACTCCCCACCCCGATCCCCCAGACTTTTTATTTTATTGTTTTGCCCTCCAAACTGCTGAAGGCCTTGAGGCTTTGTGTCGTGTCGTGTGCTGTGTATGGAGCCAGAGACTGAGTCGCGATGGCTTGCGTTATGTTTTGTGCGCGGGAGGATGACAATTCACGTGTCTTCTGCCGTTGCGCTAGAGTCGTGACTTTAACGAAACGTTGATCGACGATTATTATCGATTCTCAAGTTGACGATACATGTCTCGATTCGTGTAAGAAGTGATGTTTTAGATTTGTAAATGTTGTGCGTAATGGGCTTCCCCGTCATGCCTTCTGACATTCGTAGAGTTTCTAGCTCTTGAGTTAAACAAAACCAGGACACATCATGGGGAAGAAGAACATCTCAATGCCAGAATATGGGGTAACTGTATGTGCATGCATTGCCTTGAGTCGTTATCATGAGTGACCACTACATTAATTGCAATCGCAACCCTATAAACACAACCCTGTTCTATTTTGATTTAAAGCTTTCGTGACTGCAGTAATTCATATTCTTAGCTCTTTCGGTAAAGTCACGTTTTATATATATTTTATTGTTTCCCTTCAACGTGACTTTACCGAAAGAGCTAAGAATACAACCCTGTTCTGTTTACGTGACAACCCTTACTAAATTGGCTGCCTCGGGTGGTGGCGGGTTTAACGACACATTTATATTTATGCAATCTAACCCCCAAAAAAAACTTATGGATATTGGCCGCAAAAGGCTCCGTGTTAATATCACAACCCTAGGGTTGCGACAAACGCTGGAGCTGTTGCATTTCTGCATCGCGCGCATATTTCCGCGTTTGTAACATTTCCCGCAGCAAGTAGTCGCAGTTTCAGTGTGTGCGCAGATCAAAGGATGACAATGATGATAAGCACGGCCGTTTTATTTTGTTCAGCCCACTACACCGCTCTCCAGAGACGTGACAGCAGCGTCTGTGTGGGCGTGTGAATACTCTTGCCAACTTTTGTTCCGCCGGATATAAGGGGGCTAAACGGGTGCGGCATGGGCTAGAGAAGAGATGGAGTGATGTGGTACAAGAGGATGATGTGGAGCTGAGTGGACTTGCTGATGACTGGTTACCAGCCGATGTCAAGATCGACCTATGTGGAGGAGGCTCGTGAAGGACGCTGCTACTGGGTAGTTGTCGGCAGTATCCCTACAGCAACAACGGAGGTCAGAGGAGCGACGCTCACAACGAGCAGAGCGCCGGGTGGCTAAAACACAGCAAGTTGGCACAGTAGGGGGCACAGGTGGTGCATCGGCCAGTCATTTCAGTCAGTCGACCCATGGCATCTGGGTCTGTCCCATGACCCCCTGCCAGCGGGCGTTGGACACTTCATGTGGCCTTAAAGTGCACTTAGCCTGGACACGTCACCGCCGCTCAGTGGCGAATGACGGTTGTTGCTGTTGTTGAACACGCTGGATCACTGAGCCTGCTCCCCACGGGGCCCTCCCTGTCTGCCACCTTCCAAGTTGTCCGTCCTTGACGACCCCCCCCCCCATCGGCTCTGTCTGTACAGCGCCCGCAAAGAAGTCCCGAGGCAACGGAGTCCTCCACGGGTTTCCACGCGTGCAGGTGGATTAATTTAGAAACTGCGAGGCGCTCTGCTTCATTGTTGGCGCTTTCTCCGAGAGACTGGTGCTCGCAGCAAACAGCAGCTTTGCAGGAAACTGGTCTAATGAAGACCTCCACTGGTGCCGCATCTTCATCGACACGACCAGCGCACATTTAACTCGTGCTCCACTGATCACTCCTATTCCTGCACGTGACAATATTGTTCAGGAGTGAAATGGCCAATGCCGAGGTCTGCTGTCCACGAGAGGGCTTTCAGGGTTAAGAGTTCGTGTCGTTTTGATGCTCCTTTGTTGAAGGATGCAGACTACGGCGGTTTGTTTTTACGTGGTTCACAAATAGTCCACGATGGCACGTGTCATCACCTGAGACTGATAGACCCGAGGTGGACTATGTTAACTCCTCCAACTCACGTTGCCAGAACCCCTCCGATTGGAACATTGCAGCGTTTCATCATTGACGAATGCTCACCACCACCAGCGGCTTGTCTGATTTGAATGCCATGTCAAACGGCGAAGTTTTCAACGTCACGATAAGCGAGGAGTCGATTGTGAGAGCGTACTGCTGTGCTTGCCTGTCAGTTGAAATAGACACGTGCTCTAGAAGTTTTATTGAACGGTGCATTGTCTCGAGGTATATTATAGGGGATGTAAGGATTAACGGCGCTGGCAACTCGATGACTTGTTACAATTTCAGGGAAGAATAGACGCTTCAAATGGGTGCTGAAAATTGCAGCCACTTGTCTGCAGGGTATGTGTGACCCGTTGGACCGTATATGATTCATGCTGAAACTGAATTCAATGCTTGTTTATTGCCAACTTAAGAATCGATATTAATAGGTGAATTGATGCGTCGTGATTACACCTCTTGTAATTACTGTTTACGTGCAGTCTTGAGCCTGTTCTACAACTGAAATATTGATTGCGGGAAAGAAGGGAACGGTTATGGGATTGTAGACGGTATTTATTTCCTTTTTGGTATGAAATAGTAAAACGTGGCCGAAACAACGTTCTTGTGAAACTTATTTTTCCTGTAAATAAACATTTAAAACGTGGGGTGGCTTGCTACCGATAGCCGAGTCGAGACGATGTCTTTCTCAAATGAGCATTGAGGGGCCGTGCTTCGGTCTAAACAGCCCTGAGCCCGTGGTGGAATATTCGACATTCCTGTGGTGGGAGCGAGTCTATCCGTAGGAAAATCACTGTGGACGTTCCCCCCAGTGTTGGTTACTCATTGTATCAGCCCCATAGGGATATGATGATGATGATGCTGAAATCAATCACCAAAGGGTTTAGACTTTATGATTGCGAGCCGCTTGCAATCCCATACATGGCTATTCCACACATCATCATCATCATCCATTACGGGAGGGCCCTTCCCATAGGGCCCTGCCCAAACCGGACTAACGCTACCGGTAATGGATATCCATTGTAATTGATATGACTACACCCCCCTCCCCCACTCTGGCCCCGCACCTAATTGGCTCACAAGTGACGACTTCACACGAATCCCATTAATTATTCAAGTGACGACGTCACACGAATCCCATTAATTATATAAGACCGAAACAAGAGGATTTCTCCACAACTTTGGCTGTCGCTGGTTGTAGTAATTACTGGCGAAACGTCGTACCCGAATTGTAAATGTTGGTTGGTTTCGTCTCCCACACACCGGTGTGCTGTACTAGTCACGAATTGGCACTTTTTATTTACGTGACAAACCTTACTCAGTGTCTGTGTCGGGTGGTGGCGGTTTGAACGACACATCCATATTTACGCGATCTAACCCAAAAAAAACCTCTTGGATAATATTGGTCGCGAAAGTCTACGTGTTAAACTGGGAATCTTTATCAATGTAATTTCACGAGTTTACAATTGAGTAAAAAAAAGTTATTATATGCACCCCGCGATTCCAAATGAGGGGCAAAGCGAACCCCTGCACCCCCCCCCCTCTCTCCCCCAAATATAGAAGTCAAACTCTACCTATGCATCCATGGTCAATCCACTGCTCGATTAAGGCATTCCGAAATAAAGACGAAGGGCCTCCTTCCCCCAACCCCGTCCCTCTTTTGGTAAACCTCGGCTTTAAACGGGAAAAAAAGGAAACGAGAAAAGTTAACGGAAGAAGGCGCGAAGTGATTGCAGCCGTCACGTTTCTGCATTTCACGAGAGGCGTTGATGCATCAATGCCACACTTCGCTTGATCGGCCGCCGTATTTCTGTTCACGGCGGCGGCGATGATGAACAAGCGCGACCCCCCACCCCTCCCGATGTTGAAGTTCAGCCGCCGCACTCCGCTGGGCTGCACGAACGAGCCACGTGGGCGAGCGTCGTCTGCACGCCGTGGACACGCGCGTGGCCGGCCTGGAGAGAGGCAATAACAAAGTTGCCAGACTCACTTTTGCTTCAGCAAGCGGTTCCGTTCGTCCATGCTGCTCGTCTGCCCCACTTCATGCGGAATCGCAGAGTAAACTCTTATTACCATCCCCCCGCCGCCGCCCACCAAAACTTTGTATTGTACAAAGCTACAGAGATCGCTGCCATTTATTGGGGGGTTTCCCCCACCTTTTTTTGCCCCAACAAGCTTTATCATCTGCCTGTGTGAGACAATGATAATAATTGTCATGATTGGCAGCGTTTAATCGCTGGCACGTCTCGAGGATCGGGGCTAAAGGATAATCGGGAGGATACACAGACAACGCACCGCAACGAAGGCCTTGATCCAAAACAAAATGAACTTGAGGCTAGGAGGCAGCAGCCCTTGACTCTCCGCATGAAGAAACGTGCACCATACGCCAGGTCGCGTTTTTAGTTTTAAAAACGCCACCGTAGTTGGGCGAACTTTCCACTTCGGGTGGCGTCTCTTTTGAGATTTTGCTCATCGGCGACGTTGAACGTGATGACTGACGCCCCCACGACACAAGCCACCCAACACACAGCGGGGTTGGCATTTGCCACCGCAGTGGAGACAATCAAGGTAACTGCAGCAGGTGAAGAATGCGCCGAAGGATTGTTTCTGGCAACCAACGGGCGTGGAGGTGAGTTCAGCCATGGTGAATGTTAACGCGCACTACAGATGTCTTGTGACCCCCCCCCTCCACCAATTAAATAATTTGAACCTTCATATTTTAAGAGGTGGGTTCATTTAAAATATTCATTAATATGGAGATGATTTTTTTTTACGACTCGATTGGTGGTCACGAGACGTCTGGCCCACCCTGTACAGTACGTATTGGTGAAGTTTACGTAAAACTGCTGAAACGAAGGAGGCGGGTGCAAGTTGTAATTTAAGTTGTTGGTATTTTGCCACTTGTTGTCAAACGAATGGCGCGCGAGGTTTTCGCGACCGTGCCGTGAACACGGCTCTCCCCCGACTGCGCCTTCGCGTCGTACCGCGTTGTCCGACGTTTCGCTCCACGAAACGCATAGGGTGCATACATGCACGTGCTGGGAACTCGTTCACATTGGGGAGCGACGTGACTCAATGCGGTCTTTATAGGTAACTGAGCGTATGGCTATTTTAAAAATTGGCCATCAGAAATGTGTACGAAAAAATGTATCCTTATCAGGCCCCATGGTGCAATGTGCAGCCTCCCAACTCCTTTAATTCGACTCGATCTCTCGGGCTTATCTATGTGCTATGAATACGGGCCATTGCCCGAAACGTCGCCGATTATATATTCATTCTTTTCAGGACCTACACACTTGTTGGCGTTGACGAGTGTGCTGATTTTTTGTTGCTCATTGTGCCTGTGCATTACTGCCAAAGCTGTAACAAGCAGCAGCAGCATCGTTTTGTCTTCATCGTGACGAATATTTGTATTCAATAAAAGGGGCTTAAAAATAATAGCAATGACTTATGAATTTAGCCATCGAACAAAGAAAGTGGTCACTGCATCGCGCGACGCTTTCAGATGCGCTTCGGCGGCCGTCTGGAACGCTCTCCCTTCCGATATTAGGAAGTACCCTGGAGCTGCGCGCTTTCAAATATCGAGATTGAAAAACTCATTTCTTGAGAACTGCTTTGTTGTGTTTAGTTTGTTGTCCTTCACTCGCACCTCCGATTAGCACGGTTGGCTACGTACGGCGCGAAAGAAGTTCTACGTACGGGAGGTGTGGGTGGTGTTTCTCCACGAATTTTCCGGAGGCTCCATCCATGGATTTGAGGCATCGCTCATTATTCAGCCGGCAGAGGGCGCGATTCGTGATGACGGCCCGGTTGTGGGAGCGTGGCGTTCGGTACATCCGTGCCGCGTGTTCCATTTCGTTTTTAAATCACGATTTGCTTAGAATTTTAATTAATTATAATCTGCACCAGAGTTTGTGTACCGCAGCCTTATTCTACGCGTTTATTTTAATGTCTGGCAATGCGGATTTAACTTTTGAAGCCCGAGTCAAATGCATTGGTGTGGAGCTAAAAAAAACACGCCAAAAACGTATTGCGTTAAATCTGAACGTGTGTGCCTCAACTTTGTAGCAATTAAGCACACATACAGTGTACGTTCTGGACAAAGCAATGGATTGAATTGGGATTTTTTTGTTGTAAATATGGATTATGTATTTAGCGAATTCGTTACACTGTAGTTTTAAAACCAAATTTTTATTAACCACCCACCCATCCATCCAAACGGCTCTATTTGTATAACCGCAAATTGTTAATGCTATTTGCCACGTGTTTGTGGATTCGAGAGGGAAAAAAAAAACATTTATACCTTTGTTTTAATTGTTTTAGATCTTTATTTTCCACTTGCATGAACAGGGTATCTCAAACTTATGTCCTCCAGGAACGTTTACCAATACTCTCCGTTCAAATACAAATTAATCTGTTGCTCCATCTGCCACGGCGGTCGTTTATTGCTACCACTCCGCACCTCGATTAGCACGGTTGCCTACATACGGTGCGAAAGAAGTTCAACATACGTCCATGTTAGTTTCGACCACTGGCCATCATCATCTCTTCTTGCGAGTGGCTTGCCCAAACTCACATTCTGTACATTTCTTTACGATGTCTCTAACTTGTGCATATACCTCATCCATGTTTGTATCTTTCTCTCAGTGTAATTCCAAACATTCACATTCACTTCCCTACGCTTCTTTGCACATTTTGCAGCCTTTGTTCCATTTTCTTGTCCATGCATTCATCAAGGACGTTCTTCTATAGGCCGACTGGAATGCCACTAATCATAATTATTTCATTTTCCTAAAAGCACTCAAGCCTGTGCTCTTCTGGCTTCTTTGTTTCGTAATTTTGATCCCGATCTGCTTTAAATAACTGCCCAACACAGAGCTGAAGTCAATTCTGGTTGTGTCTCTTCCTGCTAGCTGCCCGTCAGAACGACGATTGGACTGTCTCAGAAGTTTGGAGTTCATGGTTTTGTTATCCTTTTATCAATTACAATTTAAAATATATATATAATGCAGGACAAGTGTGTTCTTTGTGTCCCTCACAAACATCATCTATTGTTTTGGCAAACTTTGTGTTTTGTGACTTTTGTTTTGCCCATGTGTAGTGAACCCCACTTTGTAGCCAACATTAAGTTCGTTTATAATTTCCTGTTGTTCATTTAGAATCGGATGTAGTAATGCCTGTCATCGGTACCTTTGTTTTTTTCGATCAATTTTGGAAAACATAATCATGTAGATCGTGAGGCCTCCTTTGCCAGTACCAAAATGTAATAATAGGGTTTTTCCACTTTTTTTTCTGGCAACAAAACTAACACCTTTTGCAAGGAATCATGTTTACATTCACCACAATACTTGCAGTCAAAATGCAAACAAAAAACAAACTCTGATAATTTATGCATTGTCCTTGAAACTTATATGGTCCACACCAGAGACAGCTTTCCTTAGAGTGTAGTCTCATACGGTGTTCGACCAGATGACACCAAAAGGCGTCTTTTGGCGTCATCTGGTTTGCATTTTGACTGCAAGTAATGTGGTTAATGTAAACATAATTCCTTGCAAAAGGTTTCAATTTTGTCGCCAGAAAAAAGGGGAAAAACCCCTATTGTTATAATCATGTAGTTCTTGCTGAAATTGATTCTGGTGCAAGTATGTCACCTTGTCTGAGTTTC